GGGCAACGCAACACGTCGCACCGGGAGTGGCAAGCCCAAAGCCAAAGAGGTATGAGGATCAATGACTTACCCGACGCCACTGTATCCTTTGACGAAGACAAGCTGCTTGGTGCAGTTGTCGGTGGCACACAGCACTGGCCCCGTCTCTTTTGGATGTGGCCCTTCCTGTGGCTGTCCTATTATCGATCATAGTGATGGCCATTGGAATCCGCATCATTCCTTGCGTCTCCCCCAAAAGCCTGCCTCGTCAAACTTGAGTTTGTTGATGGTCATGTTCGGAACATTCTCATTGGATTGAAGAAGCAGAACATGTTGGTTGGCTGCCAGCACTAATGGCGCTGAGATTACACACACCCAACTGCCATGGAGACTACTCGTCGGTCCACTGCCAACGGAAGCAACCGCCAGCACCCCGTGTTCGAAACTGCTTACGCTCCGATATTGGATCTGAAGTCCGCAGGTAATGTTGTCTCTCTGCTCAAGCTCACCGTCGGTGTAGAAGGTAGAAACTGCAAAGAGAGATAGATAGAATCAATAGCTATGGATAGCTACATCCTTGAAGGTTCTTTGCTAGAAGCGGGTTGCTACCGGCGTGTGTTTGGTTAAAGTGCAATGCGTGTGTCTTCTCAGCTTAGCAATTGGCAACGGAGGAGGACCAATTTCGGATTCTGGATGACCTGGACAAAGAATTTTCTGAAATTTCTTTATAGAACTGTGCATGTGGGGTCGCATCACCTACTTTTGAATAGAAGCTTTATCTCTCTTTCTTCCAAAGTGCCATGTGATTTGTCGAGAGAGTGGTAATTCCTTCTTTAGTTAGTTAACAATGTCGAGAGAGTCGAGTGTCCACGCTGAGAAAGTCCCGCGAGCCTTCCACGCTGTCCTCGGTCCTCGCTGCGTTTCAACATACACAACACGTTCACGATTCGATTCAAACTCAAGCGATTTTCACGGAAAGAAAGGGCAATCAACTGATCATTCCAATCTCATAATCTGTATGAAAAGCATTCTAAGAATGGCTACACAAACTAACAGGTCGGAGAGAAGAGTCGCTGCGCCAGTGAAATCCGACGCTTTGAGCTTGCATAGAGCTTCTGTGAAGATGAATGCGGATGATGCAATTTGTCAACGGAAGCGGATCAAAATGGACGGAGGAAACAAGCTTGAAATCTTTCGACAAGGCACTCCTGTGTGGCTGGAAAGTTTGACTTCAGATGTTTATGAAGAGGGAATGATAACTGGTGCAGCAGTTCGGCAATCGCCGCTGCAAATAAAACAAGAGGGCGAACACGTCTCCTCCGCTGTTTTCTACTCTGTACTCGCTGGCAAAACTGAGCATCATTATGTAGAGTCAAAGCGGATTGCGGATCGCCGCGTGCCCCAATACCAGGGCGCAGACAAGCAGGAAGCAATATCCACTAAGCAGCGCAGTCTAGTCACCAAGAAAGATGAGCCACCAGCTGCTGGTGATTCTTCGCCTCAGAAGTTCCTTGTCCAACCGATGACAACGCCCTTGGAATCTGAATCACTGTGCGCCCTTAAAGAAGATAAAGAGAACACTGATTTCATCCAATCCAGTGACGAAACTATCAGGTCTGAAGTTGAACAGGACGGTTTGTTTTCGCCCATCCGCAGGGACATTAAGACCGTTAGCGAACAAGGGGACCAATGCGAGAATGCGGAACCAGTTTCACCCCTCCGAAGGAATTGTACATTCGCGGACTTGTCCCAGCTCAAAGAGAGTTTTTTTACATCTGACGATCCAAACATCAAGTACGGAGTGGAATTGGACGAGGACACGTTTTTGACGGCCGAAGAAGTACACAAGATTGTTCGTGAAATACAGCGCTCTCAACGGCGAAAGCGAAAGGCCTCCGGTCTTGACAAGAAAGCTGTCGCAGGGTCAAAGAACGGTCAAAACAAGCAGATTGGGACTACTGCGAATCACACTTCAGCCCATGCTAGAGCGAAAGATCATCCACTGAAAGATCCAAATGTTGGAGGCAAGACTCCTTGCAGCTCCCGCGTGCAAGTCGCAGACTGTCAAGATTGCAGGCCTGGTATCTTGAGGGCTCCACGGAACTTCAAGGACTCCCATCATCGGGCGCGGCAAGGCAATAAAAAGGTTCGCTTTTGCCAACTACCCGATAGGGGTGAAGCCCAACAGCCACGGCACACTGGATCAAAAACGCCGAAGCTCGATGATCCATCATTGCGTCCGCCCAAAAGGTGTGGAACTGAACAGCCAAGATGCAGTGGACCAAAGAGGTCAAGGTTTGAGGAGAAATCTTGCGCACCAGAAAGGCCTAAAGCAGCCCAGGCACGATACATTGGACCAGAGAGGACAAACCTTGTTGCCGCTGATGCCCCCCAACCATGCAAGAGAAGAAACGTACCAGTTGGCAGCCACCACAAGCCAACAAAACAAAGAGGAATTCAGTTTGTTTTGCCTGGAGAGTTTGGAAAGGACTTCTTGATGCGGACAATTTTGGGCGAGAATGGCATTAGGAAAAGAGAACTATGCGATGCATTTGGCTGTACTATGGAGTTCAAGGGCACCATGATTGATGGTTCTCCAGCCAGCAATTCCAGCGCACCAAGACTGTACATCCAGGTTAAGGGATGTAACGAAAGGAAACTCCTCAACTGCTGCTTGTCCATTGAGCACTTGTTGGCAATGGCGGTTCCCAAGTTCTTCCAAGGCTATCTGCTCTATACTCTGGCTGTCCTGAACAGATTTCTTCATGGCTATCGCAGCAGGGGTGCCAATGGGATCGTTCAAATCAAGAGCCTTGATCATTTTGCCAGTTCCAATGGCAATGGACCTGTGAGGTTTGTAGCTGCCATTAGGGTCTTTGGTCCACCCATCAATGGCAAGCATTGTGCCACATTTAAGCAGCAAGTACAACGGGAGTACCCATCCTGTTTCATTCAACTGGTGGAGAGAGATTCTTCACATCGAGAAGTACTTCCCCATATTCTGCTGTCCAGCTCCAGTTATAATGATGTTCTCAGCATCCGTGCCATATGGGAGCAATCGGGTCAGAGATAGGGTACTTTGCAACAATGCCAATCCGACTGACTCAATCATGATACATGTAGTTAATCTAGTCCCCCTTTAGTTATTCAAACTAAATCACTGAGATCTACTCTGGCTAGTCTACGAAACCCCGTTGTTTTATAAAAATAAATTCTGAGAAACTCGGGCAATGCATCGTGGTAAACCATCGTGGAAAAAGGGAAGTGGCAACATTCAAAAACCAAGCCCGTCGGCCGACCTCACAGGAGTCACCAACTCACGCTCAATGCACCCCTTGGTCTCACTTTTGAAGCGGATCCATCCATGAGCGATCACCATGGCAACCCAACTATCAAGTATCCATTCTGATCTGGATGACGACGACGATTTCTTGCCGCTGCCTCGCAAGAAGGCTGCACGCTTCAATAAGTTTCCACCAGGATGTCGAGTACTGCTGAACTGCTTTTCAGTTGGTGAAAGCAAAGTGGAGGAAAGGCCCTCGGGTTGGTTGGTTTCCATGGTCGTCTCGGGTGTTGTCAGAGAGGTTGGAATCAATTTGGACTCGGACGAACGAGAGATTCTATGTCAAGTAGAGTTGACGGATTTGTCCTTTCATCTTGGATCGTTTGCTTGTCGAACCTGCAGCAACAACCGAAATGCCAAACCTGCGTTGGTTTACGCCAAGGAGAGTCGACTTGTCTTTGCGATTGGGTCGCCCGTGTTTGTAAAAATTCAGGATGAAATGAAGAAAGAAGAAGAGACCGCTGAAGAAGTGGAGGGCATAGTGGTTGGCTCTCAAACATGTACGCTAGAAGGTCGTCAAGATGTGGTCTACTCCATTCAAACACTCCAAGGAAGATGCGCCGTGCTGCATGGTGTCGATCCAAGTAAGCTCACCTATCGTTCGGAAAAGACAATCGTTAAGAAGGAACAGAGCAGAGAAACTTCCGGTCAGCGTAACGTTCTGGCCAACATCCACGCAAATGTGCCTGCGACTAGCGCAAATAGAAAAAGATCATCTCATCACAATGTCCAACCATCATCATCGGTCATTCACACGCCGAGCCTTGGTGCATTCAACACCAAACATGGCACTAGTGCTAGCGAAGGTCCTGCTCCAACAGGATATCAAGTGGAGGTTGAAGTGGAAGTGGAACGAAGGAAGTCCACCGAAGATGACGCGACAACCTACAGACACTTGACGTTCTCACAACTTGCCAATCTACAGACTCCCAACCAGCACAATTCCCATTTGAAAGTTGAAAATTTGACACAATCCGTGCCAAAACAGGGCTTGTATCATTGGAGAGTGTCGTTGCCACTAGACCAAGACGATGATGAGTTTACACCGACAAACACGTTAGAAGGCAACGGTTCAGGTGGCGAGGGGGGAATGGCTACATCAAGCACAGAACATGAAAATTCAATCATCAAGATCGAGGAATCCTCAGTCCAACCTACATGTAGTCATTGCAATGAAAGTGCGTTGACTGAAGCAAATGAATCGGATTCGTACCAGTTCAATGCGGTGCGCTTGAATGAGATTGATTCTGCTGTTTCCGTTCCTGAAACAGAGAAGCTAATTGAAAGGGTGCATTCAGACAATGTCACTGGGAACACGCAAAGTGACGACAACAGCATGACTCAAGATATGCCTGTAACAAGGGCCAACAGCAATGGAATATCCCCCGGACTGCAGAACAGCGAGACAGGCAATTCCAGCGATGTGGAAGAGGGCGAGATTGAGGCCGAGCAGAACTTTCCGCCCAAGATCAACATCGTCGTCACGTCTACATCATCACACAGAGGCCCGCAAATCGCAGCAATAGTGGAAGCACCCCCCAAGAGGAAGCGTCAAGTCTCAATGGAATGTGCTCGAAATGCCAAACCAAGAACTGACACAACATCGCAAGGCGATTCACACCAGCTTTCCACGAAAGGGGCCGTCAACAATGGATGGAAGAACACAGTACATGTAGCAACCATGCGACAACCGGATGGAAATCATGCACGGCGCCCTGCGAGGCAGGAAAACGAGGCCTCGACACCGCGAAATCTACATGACACTCGTAATTTTCGTGTTGAGAATGACATTCCGTAGCACTAGCGTCGTGTACAATACAGACAAGTCATTACAGCATTGCATCCGCGTTGGCAAGAATCATGATATTGTTCAGGCTCTCAGATTGATCAGGCAGAAACGAATGGAACGTGGACAGTGTACATTTGGTCATGGTGGTGTTGGCAAGTTAGTGAATGAAACTTGCCTACGATGGCATCTTGTCGGCTCTTGTTCCTATCACTGTCGACTAGCGAGGAGCCACGTTTTCTTGTACCCTGAAACAGCAAGATCACTTGTGCAGGCATTGGCACCAGCAATTCGGTCATCAGGCCCAATTTTTGGCAGTGTAGACCATATCATGGAGTTGAAGGGGCCGATGTTGCGAGGAAACTGTCAACCCAACAAAGGAGTACGCTCTGGCTACATTCAGCCACAGAAAGAACATCTCACTGCAAAGTTTTACTTGCCCGTTGAGTTTGGTGTTGACTTCTTCAGAAAACATCTGCTAGATGAGCAAGACGCGACATCAAAGGAGCTTTTTGATGAGTTTGGTTGTACAATAGAACTCAAGGAGACCTCTTTTAAGACAATCTACAATGACAATGCCTCTTCAAACACAAAACTGTATCTGCAAATGGCAGCATCAAACTCACAGAACCTCTCAAACTGTTGTTTTGCCGTCGAGAGCATTCTTGTAAATGCTGCACCCAAAACATTTCGAGGTTACCTCCTTGCCAATCTTGGTTTGAGAACAAATGTCTTGCAAGCCAATATAACAAAGAAGATCAGATTGTTTTCACACAAAGCCCGAACGACATGGACTGCGGTAAAATGAAGTATCTTCATGTTGTTAGTGGGTTCGGTCAACCGATTGGAAGCCACTTGTGCTGAGCATACAAGAAGAAAGTGGAAGATGATTGTGGTCACTGTCAGGCTGAAATTGTTCCAACGGATGCCTTGTTCCCAGGTATTGTACCACACATTCTTTTGTCCAGCTCGAAAGCTGGTGATGTGCTGCGGGCTAAAGACGTTCGGAAGGAATTCCACTTGGGCTAGCTAGCACAACACACACGGTCATAGTTCAGCAAGAACATTCACCCAGGCTCGTCATTGCTGCGTTGCGGCATTTAGTATACCGCTCATAGTTTAAAAGTTGAAGCATTCCAGATGCCCAACCGTCCCGGTAGAGTTGTTCGTGTTGAAGGGGTTCAGTCTCTGCATAGTGCTGCCAGGGCCCACGCCTGCACGTTTGCCAGGACAAACTCCTTTTCCCACTCTGAAACCAACACCTACAGAACTAGCTAGCCAGATCAGCCCTCCATGCAAACACTGGGCAAACTACACGTATCCCCAGCGCTTGAAGAGGAGCTTACCCCTAGCATCCTATTACATGTACATGCGAAGAGACACCCGCTTCTACCGGTATCTGTGGAAAGGGACGCAACAAAGTCCTCGTTTCGTGCCACTTCCCAAGATTCCTTCGAGACGCTCTGCATTGCAAAGCCTGCCGTGACAGCTCATTTTAAAAATCAGCATGAGCTTGCACACCGAGAATGAGGAGTGACACCTTCGAACATTTTCATCCAGACGCAGCCGATCCGTTGGTCTTCAACTCTTGTTGACTACAGGTAGGTGATACCGTTCAACCTAATAATCTAACACGGAGAGGGGATGGCCACCGTCACCACGGAGTTCCTGGCTTCGGATGGGGGCGACATCACAGGACAGGAGGCTCCTGCTGCTTTCGCATCTACTAACAACGTTCCTCACCGAGTTCCTCCTGGTGGCCGCAGACGCCGCAATAAGCAACGATCATGCATGAATGATATTTATTATAACATGTAAGTCTGTGGCAATGACTCTTCTGATGCTCCTCTTCCAATCGGTCGTCACCTTGAGTGACTCCTATCTTCCAAACATCGCGTTGCCCGCAATTCTGACAAAATTGCTGCTGATTAGTGTATTTGTTCCATCTATGCCTCAAGGTCATTTTTGTCGTCATTTTTGTCGTCTTCCTCGCTGTCGCTAAATTGCACATTCAGATTTGCCATGCTGAATTGCTTCACGCCTTTGATTCCTAGCACACCACCCACCTTGGACACAATCTGCCCATCTTTCAAAAAGTACTTGCCACCTGTGATCTCTTCAATGGTCAAATATCCAGAATCATCATCATCCAACTCCTTGAATCGATTTGAGATGAATTCAATCAGTGCGGGGTCTTGTCCCATGCGGACCATACAAAGAATGATGTATTCGGCGCTGTCAATCACACCATCACCATTTTCGAGTCCAAACTTGCGCAACATGAGCAACTCTTCGCCCGTGACATCTTCCACAAGCTCTTTCTTGGTGACTTCAATGTCACCTTGATCCACCATGAGTGTAGCCAATTGTGCCATTGCCACACCCATTAATGGAACACCCAACATTGCCATAAAAGCAGTGAGGGGCCACATCCAATCAGGAGCATACTTGGGCAAACCCCAGTGACCTCCAGTACTGAGTGTTGTAATGGCAAAGTATTGAGCCTGGACATAGGACCAACCAAGACCCCAGAGGGAGTAAACAATCATGATTCCAATCCAAATGACCCATACAGTTATGGCCCTGATAACTGCTTCATACTGCACATAAATAGCTTTGAGGAGGACCCAGGGGTCCCTGCTGTTTTGAATACTCTCTTCGTAGGCCTTTTGCTGGACCAAGTTTGTGAACCAATTGTCGTGATCTTCTCCAATTTTGTCAGCAAAGAAACTCAAAGCCACTCCAATGAAACTGGAACCAATCTATGTTGTTTCAAAGGAAGGGGGGTAACAATGGTAACATGAGGTACAGAACACAGCCAAGGGAAGACCAGTCGAGTTGACAAAGGCCGGAACACAACGTTTGCAGTCACAATCTCTGCAAACCCCAAAACATACCAGCACATAGATGGTTGAAAACCAGAGGTACGGATCATAGTCCTCTCCAGGTTCACCGAACCCAATGGAATAACCAATATTGATAGCCACTAAAAAGATACGAGAACAGAGATTACACATTAGTCAGCCACATCTCTTCATGAATGAAGCCCCAGCTGTAGAAAGAGAGACCAATCGACTCACTATACCATCCTCTTCGCCACCCCAGGTTCATTTTCGGAGCATAGGAATAAAAGAAGAATCCTGCAGTAAAGAGCGGAAAACAAACCGGTCATGACGGTTGGAGTGAGCGACTGCTGAGGAATGACCAACCCAACCCAACAGCAACACTGCTACATTACTGTACTTACCAACCACCACCCAAGCAGCCCAAATGATCAAGAAGAGCGGACCACGGTTCTTGACCGGGTCCTTCATTACATTTATCATGGTGTGATACATCTTGCTTGGAAGAGAGTGTCCTAGGAGGGACAACGGGAAGGGTACGAGACTGAAGGTACGAGACTGAAGGACTTCGGAACTGCCGACTCCTTGGCTTTTGTTGCAGTTGGGCTACTACTAGTAGCTAGGAAGAGACTCTCCTTGACCGTCAGGCAATCACTTGTCTCCCTATCAAGTCAACAAGCCAGATCTTCTGTGGGATAAGGTTTCTATCAACACGGCCATGTCCACAACAATTGAAGAACACTGCTTCTGTCTGGTTGGATGAGGTGTGTGACAACCAGGAAGCGAGTTTTGTGTCTCAGGTAGATGTAGTAAAATGCAACAATACCAAAACTATTATTACTCCATCTACCGCTCTAAAACTGTCTTCCTGGCACCAAAGTGTTCACCGTGACAAGTGCTGCCCGCGATCGATGACCCTGGCAATGTCGGCCTGCTACGAAACACGACTGGAGATCGAAATTGGGAAAATTCAGTTTCTGAATGTGCTATTGACACCGTACCGGTCCGTTACTAGCTAGCCACCGTAGCTAGTGTAGAATCAAAACGCTTACATAAAAGTAAAAAGTGAACAATACTATTAAAAGTAGTTACGTAAAATTGAATTGGACGACAACATCTATCTCATTAGGCCAATTTTTACGGAAAGGTTCGATAAATACTGATTTTGCCTGTAAAAATGATTCGATTCTCACCACTCACGCAAGTCCTTGGAACCACCTGATACGCTACGGTACTATGGATACGGCACTCACAGCGCATGCATCGACATCCAACACAGCGCTCTACAGTACAGTTTTTTTTATGGAACACGACGCGTACTGCTATCCGGTATGGTTCGGCCTCTGAACACGAAGTCGGTGTCTTAGCTTGAGGCAATCAAGTCTACGACATCCTTGCGGCATTGCTGCACTTTTTGCATGATGTGCTGGATGGGACTGGCAACGATCACATGAGGCTGGATTCGAGGGTACGCCTTGCAGTGAGTGTTGCGCAGATGAACTTTGCATGACGGATGTTTCTTTTGGATTTCAATGATATCATCCACCATCGGTGCCTTGCGGTCACACAATAAGTCGACACAAGTCATGTACCAGAGGTCGCTCGAGAAATCTAGACGCTTTTGCCCAATTGAAATGACACTGCCGTCCTCGTACACTGTACCGGGTTTCCGATTCAACGCTGCCAGTCGGTACATGAGGTAGTCTCTGTGACCCTTGCTCTCGGTAAAGAGCACTTTGTCGATTTCGCGGCAGCACCTTCGAATGGTTTCGGATGCGTTTTTGCTGTTTGTCGTCAGCTCTAAAAAGAGCGCGTTGTCGTCGTCAGCGTGTGTCGATCCGTTCAATGCGGCCCCGCAGAGTCGAACCGAGCAGCGTGCGAATTCGATGGGATAGTTTGACAGTCCACGGCCGTTTCCCATTCGAATCATTGCACTCTCAAAGAGATCAACTCCGAACTCTGATGGAAGCAGATATCGTCGCATACAACGATGCATCGCGTTTCGATGCTCCAACAGTTCACCCATGTCCGTAGGTCGCCGCCCGGTGAAATCAGCTATTCCTGGCCTGTCCACCAAAGAACAGTAGGCCCGTCGTCGTGGAATCGAGAGCAGTTCATTCGTAGCGCCAACGCTCGTTGGAACGATCTCTCCTGGTTCCAACTCTGAATCAAACGATCCAGTTGCGGCCGACGACAGTGAACTGACTCTGGATTCGACGGATCCTTCGCTATTTGGTGGCGGTTCCCAATTGAGCTTCTTGGTGGTGCTACTGCTGCTCACAGCTGGAGTTGTATTGAGTGGTTGCTGCGCAGCGGGGATGGACACTCGCCGCTTCTTGTTTTGGGTTGAAGGATGTGTTTGTGACCCTCCTCGCTTGGACCAAGGCATGTTTGTGGCAATCACTTTTTCAGAAGGAGCTGCCGAGGACGACGACAGCACAGTATCCACGGATGCCCGACGAGACGAGTGCTGAAACGAGACCTCCGTGATTGGTATTGCGTGAACAGGGCGTTCTGTGGGAGAACCTTTGTGTGAACACATGTTGTTGTTGCGCGTTTGCTCATTGGCGTCGGCAACGGCCCTGTCTTCCTTCCTAGAGACAAGTGGCGTTTCGGATGAGGAAATTGTAGTGTCGAAAGTATCCCTACAGCTGTTGAATCCAAGAGCAGCAGCATCCATTGAAACTGTCGTACGGTCATGGCTGCGACAAGAAGGAGCGAATCCAATGGTTGACGACGAGCTCGTTGTCGTTTCTATGGAGACTCGTCGGGGTGCCGTGTTTCTTGCTGGTTGTCGATTGCTGTGCAGAATGTCGTGAGGCTGCCGTTGCTGCTGTTTGTCGGGAACGAATGGCGACGACGACGACGCCAATTCCATCAACAGTCGCTTTTTGTATGGGAGTCGCCGTCCGTGTTGCTTGCTGGTTGCCGTGGGATGTTGATTGGAAGATGGATTGTTTTTGTTTTTGAGTGTACACTGCTCCATTGTCTGTGAACTCTGGTCAAAATCAACAAGAGAAAGGGCCATATTTGGGACAGCACGCGCTGTTCCGTTGACTCTCACTCGACCTTTCGTGTCGCTCGAATAGACCTTGCGTTTGCCGTCTGTGTCAATCACTTCCACGGCATAGCGCACTCTGTAGCCGTCGGCCTCTGCTGCAGTCACCAACTGTCTCAATGCCAGAGCCATGTAGTCGTCCTTGCCATTGTCATTACCATCCGCTGTCTGTGGTAGAGTTGCTGGTCGGAAGACATGGCTTTGCTGCGCCGCCGAGGGCTTGTCGTCAAGGCTTTCCTCGTTCATTGTCGAGTTGCTCTCTCTGTTGTGTTGCGGTTGCGAGGCTGTCGTATCAAAAGGTCGGCGGCTGTTGTCGTTGTGTAGTCACCAGCAGCAGACAGGTTAACAGCGACAACCTTCTCTCTCCATTGGCTGTTTTGCTGGTGGAAAGAAAATGAGCAGTTGTCGCGACGACGGATCTTTCGCGAACTGTGACTCATCACTCGTCAATTTTCATTCACCACACGACTGCCCGTTGAGCTTCGCCTCTCTTGAGCTTGAGATCCAACCTCTTTCTGTGGCCAACGCAGCTACGACATTCAATTGTAATTCAGGTTGATCTCTGCAATCATATATATGGTAGGAAATGTCTTTCCTGGCACTCTTTTGCTCTCCTTACCCCGCCCGAAGGAACAGCTGAAAGCTTGATTCTTTTTTTGTGTGACGGGGGCAAAAGATGACTTCTACATGTCCATGTACCGGAACTGGAACCACATTGATGCAAGATATTTTCGTTCGTAGACACACGTTCCTCCTTACCGTAGCTATGCTCTCGTCGTGTACTTAAAACTAAAGATCCTCGCGTTTTCAGTGGAATGAATCATTCTGTAGACCTGCGTCGTGGCCATGGCCAAAGACGCCACGATTTGCCTTGCAGCATAGTCCTACGTACGGTGGGTTTCCTTTTCGTTTCCGAACTCAGGTCCAAGTTCAGCACGTATAGATACCAGTACAGCATGCATGTATTTGGTTCTAACGACTTTGACAATAGACTTGACTACTAGCTAGCAAGAACTATCCCTCCGTGATAACTTCCCAGTCATACGTAACTGCGAGTATTTGATTATTGTGGCTGTTTCTATACATCCTGAAACTGGCTCCCCCCTCCATCATTATGGCGATGACATGTTCCAACTATGAATATGCTGGTTCTGCTTTGATTCCGGGCTCCTCTTTGATCTCCATTTTGGGCAGAACTTGTTGTTGCTGTTGCTGTTCGTCAGGAGGAATCTCATCGAGTGGAGAACGATACGATACATTGTCTGATGGAATCCCATGGTGAATGGTACGTGTCCCCGTAATAATTTGTATCGAGTGCAACACGGCTGCGGACATTTCCAGGCCCTCTTCTTCTTCTGCTGGATAAAATTCGGTACCCAATACCACGGCCGCTTTACGACCATCATCTTTGGTGCGGTCTTTGTAGTACCATATTTGGCTCCCAGGAGCAAACTCCAAATCCTCCACTTTCCACCACTCCAACGACGTCTCGCCGTCGTCGTATTGCACTTGATAAAAGTCCGTCGTCCGTTCGGACCAAGGAAACGCCACTTGCACAATTTCTCCCGTTATATAGCACCGTGATCGACTGTACTCGTCGTGCATCACTCGACATTTGCAACCAATCGGAAACCGCTTGGTGGCCGCCAGATCGGGCGGCAATGGTTGTACTTGATCCGCGGAATACTTGTAGGGAGAATTCCACGTCTCTTCTTCTTGTGGCGGTGGACCTTGTGGATTGGGAGCAGCACTGTCTATTACCTCCACTACGGACTCTTCTTCGTCCGAAGAATCAGACAATAGATCCACCACATCGGGTTCTTGCTTCACGCCCACCATGGTCTGCCTTTCGTTTTGTTTTTGGACGTTGTTTGTTTGCTGTTAGCTGGTTGAGAGTCCCGTATCTTTCCCTAGTCCCGTCACGAGATACCGGTACGTGCGGTGCCGTGTTGTCGATTGTCGATGCAAGCTACCGTACCGGTAGGGCGAAGGAAAGTCAGGAAGCTACAGATCTAGCTAGCTAGAGATCTCTTGAAAGCGCAAATCGAGAGATAGAGAGACTACCGTACCCCACAATGGATAGAATGAAACTACTAGTACTATAAGTTGGATCCAATGGCATTCAAATTCTACAGATTTCTTGGGATTTGGAAGCTACAGGAGAGGAAAGAGAGGACGCTGCCTTACCTACTTCTTTTCAAAGACCTTAATCACTCAAAATAAAGCTGTCACAGGGCACGGCGCACATCAGCAACAGGAGGCGATGAGGGCAGTGAACCGCAACCAAATCAGTACTGTTGCATATGAGAGTGATCAATTGCAAAGTTTCGAATACCAATCAACGCATTTGGTCTTTGAGACTGCAGTTCCAGCACAATACAGTCAAAAACGGGATTTTGAAGCTAGCTACATCATGAAAGCTGGAAGATTTAATTAAGTGCGTTAGGTACCAGTAACTGCAACCTGTATAATGCTATTCCGACAGGTCAATACATCCAAATGGGTGGATCCATAGATGGTAATGAAACGAAAGATGTTTGGATATGCTTGGCTTCTTTCACAGATCTCAACCTTACAGGAACGGTGGCACTCCTGAAGAGTCTTGAGCCTGCTTACCACTGGATCCAAGGGCCTGCCCTTGTGGTCCGCAACAGGCCCATCACTGACAACAGTAAGATACTTTTGGTCTTCGCCTACTACTCCTTCAAGCAAGGTGGCAAGGTTGTCAACACGATAAACCTTGTCTTGACTTGGTGAGTGGACAACTAGTTGGTTGCCTGCTTTGCACTGGTTGAGGCTGGACAAACGGAACATGAAGAATCCACGAAGCTCTGGTACCATTGCCCTGACAAGCAGCTTTTCAATCAATCTTGCACAATCCACCAGACGATCTGTAATCTTCCCAGTAAGTCTCACATGCAAGACAGAATCTGCTGACGACAGAGGCGATTCTGATCTGTGCTCCCATGCCTTCCCATGGAGCTCAACAGTACATCCAAAACGCTCACCAAGATGTTTTGCTCTTGTGCCCTGGGGTCCAATTATATTCTTCTCAAAGAAGTCCACACCAAAAGTATGGGCAGGCAAAGTCAACGAAATCTTTGATTTGGATTGCTGGGTCATCAACTGTGGTGGCGTCCACTTAATTGCTTGATGGATTTCGGCTGTTGACACCGTGCTGCCATTGCTAGGCCTAGTGCAACTTCCTCGTCGATTGCTTTGTTCCTCGATACTAACGTTGTGGTCTACCAATTTGGTTGAACAAAGGCGCTTTGAAGGAGAGCATGGTGCATCTTCGTCGTCTGGATTTCTCTCATAGTGAGAACTGCACCTCCTTTTAGGATTGCCTCTTCTGCGTTTCTTTGGCGATTGTGGTTCTCCATCGGCCGCTGCTCGACGTGTCCTCGAGTAGATTGGTCCATCTGGAGCAATGGCTGGCTTCAGCGTTCGCTCAATTTGTCGAGCTTCGTCGATTGTCAAACTTCTATGATCTTCAGCAAGAGAGCAGTGTACTCCTTTTATACAACGCCCATTCAAATGGAAATGCAGGCAGAATCCCGTGAAAGGATGATGCCCATAATAATTCTGTAGGCGGATCTTTGCATTGACAATGTGATTGTAAGTATTGCGGTGGATGCTGTCAAATGGGTTTGGCTGCAGATTGTAAGCAATGTTTCCCACCATCTCTGTTTGGTCAACTTCATGCTCTTGCGTTGTCCGTACATCAGGTTCCAATCTCGCATTTGACTCGTCGTCGGTTGAGGATTCGCCATCAGATTGCACATTCGAAGAAGATTGGTTACATTTGGGATCCGTTGTAAGGGAACGACGCTTAGAAGCCGACGACGAGACACCCATATCTTTGTCCTGTGGAGCGCCTTCTTCCGACAGGAGTTTTCTCTTGTTCTTTTCGGCACTTCGTGTTTTCGCATAGATGGGCCCATTTGCACCGATGACAGGCTGGAGCACTTGTTCGATTTCATCAGCTTCTTCTATTGTCAGGTAACGGTGGTTCTCCAACCACTTGCAGAGATGCCCCTTAGGACATATCCCATTCAAATGGAAATGCATGCAGAATCCTGGTAACGGGAAGCGGCCACCACAACACTGTTTGAGGTGGGATCTGGCAAATATGATGCGATTCTCAGAAGAGCGACGAATTCTTCGGAACGGATTTGGTTGGTAGTTGTTGCTGATGACATCTTTATCACCGTTTTGTCGCTTGGCAGAAAAAATCGGTCCTTCTGGAGATGTGACCGGGGCAAGAACTCTTTCCATTCTCTTGGCCGCATTTCGCGTCAAGTCCCGATGGCTGTCTGCTCTCGCACAACCTCTACCGCGCTTGCACACACCGTTCAAATGATAGTTCAAGCACAAATCACTGAAAGGCCACATGGTGGTGATTTTTACGCGAAAATACGGCCGCAGTAACCCTTGGGCAGAGTAAGTATCATGGCGCTCTCCCTGGCATATGTTTTGAAATGGATATGGATTTTGGTTGTTGATGGCAAATCCATCGTTTGAGGTTTCTGGCTGTTCGAGACAATGTTGTGCATCCTCAGCATTAGCCAAGCAGTCTGGACGAGGATGCTGGTTGTCAAGGCTGATTCTGCTTTCAGCCTCTTGGCTTGTTCGTTCAATTGACTCGTCGTAAGATGGGAGTTCTGAAGCAGTTGCTGGGTCAGGTCGAGTACTTTCCTCTTTTGGAGATAGTTTGACATTAGTCTCCAATTCCAGAAGATCTGTTTTGCTACCTGGTTCCGGGGCCGCTGACTCGTAATAGCTCTTGTCATCAGGTTCTTTCAATACATCTGGTTCATCAATGGTTGGCGATTCTAATTTTGGTCCTGGCTGATCGCAAATTTCTTTGGTGGAACATGCTGCTGCTGAAGCGCCTTGGCTAGCCTCTTCGGGTTGTTGTGCCATAATTGCAACGCATTCGTCCTCCCCGTCTTGTACGGTGTCATCATCATCAATTGAAATGGCATCATCATTTTCAGTAGGAGCTACAGCAGTTTTCCCAGACTCTCTGGCAGCGCTTGCAGTGGCTGTTGATCCAGTACTAGTAGAAGTGGCTCGGTAGGCAATGTCTTGGGGAGATACATTGGCATAGATGCTAGTAAAAGCACCCCTTGTCACCTGCAATTCGTATTTTACTCCAGAGGAGGCATTATCATCTGTAGCTGGATCATCCACAGATGATGATCCCAAAATGATCCCGTTAAGTTGCTGGGAACAATCAGCGCTTCTCAAGGTGATTGTCACCTTTGTGCGTGGGGCAAACAAAACTTGCTCTTCCTGACAAAACACTGCATTGTCTCCTACCCCAATAATTTTGTACAGGAGCCCTCTTCCCTGCGAGGCTGCAAAATTCAAGCCCACTTCTTCCACAGTTCCTCGCTTGAAGTTGCTTAATCTGTTATCCCGAAGGTTTTCGACAAAGAGGCACGAGGTACCAGGAGGAAACGTAGACTTCTCGGCGATGCTGCCCGGTAGCGGGTGGAACGTGGCATCCATGTTGACCTCTTTCCTGATGAGATACCGGTAGAACAAGGATGGCAATGAAGTGCTGTACGGTAGCGGAGAGACTGCTTCCTTCAGCCGCACAGAAGGAAACCTGTTATCATGGGTATCAGAAGGACCGCCAACAAACACACAAACTTCGCAAACACAAACCAAGGGACCGAAGGATCTGTTCGGAGGGGTGAGGGGTTGCGATAGTTATCGGTACACGTAGCCAAAAAATCTCGTGTGACTCGACTGAGACTCGTGTTTTAGGTCTCGGTTGTGTGTTCGATTCAGATCCAAAAGCCATTAAGACTGCATTTACACTGATATCTCGTACAGCCGCACCGGTAGAGACCCCAAAGTTGGTCTGTGCAGAACTTGCCATACCTGTGGTTGTTCACCGCTACAGTACGACGTGTCTACTAGGGTACCCGAAACTCCTTTTAGTACAAAAGATATATCATGGTAGTGGGATCTTGCCCATTCATCTTGCATTTTTTCTGGATGGCCCCAATAAGAAAGAGCCTGATTTTCCCTCACTCAGAGATTGGTGTAGAATCTAAGAATCTGTGGGGACTGGATGCGTATCGTACCGTATCTGCGGCTGCCTGACGCAAACATTTGTATGTTTTTCGATGATGTTAAACTAAATATATTATGACAATAAGGACCAACTATTAATACATGTACAGCACCGTACTATCAATTTGCCCCTAACTTCCGAGAATCGGGGGAACTGTAACACTGAGAGATTGGGAGTTGTGCGCCGGGAAAGGAAACACGTCGGTCTCAGAGTCCCGGATGGCATGGAGTCTTCATTCGTGCCTTTTGCGTTTTTTGTTTAGACGGTGACGGCGGGAAAGTACGTAACCCCAAGTTACCCTCCGTGAATGTGTTCCATCATGATCAAGTAATATGTCAATGGAGAGGAAAAGATACTGCTACCTCAAAATGACGGGGGATCGGCGGTGAAGATAATCCAAGCACTTTCCTTCATTCCTTTGGAAGACGATCAGATTCATCCGCAATGAAGTCGAGATTGCACTCTGTCCTCTTCTTTGCAACGGCATTGCTGATTCCCAGTCTGGTCCTTCTCTACAATTCTTGGCAAGCCAGATTCCAAGAGACCGATCGGAGCCTCCAAGAAGACTCATCGATACTGGAAGCTTATGGCGGCAAGACCTACGAACCAAATGCCACCGCAGATAATGATCCGACGCCAGCAGACCTACCAATGTTGCAAGCTTATGGCGGCATACCGAATCTCAACAGGTTTCCTCTCAAACTCTGTGAAGGGGACTGCGATGTCGATAGTGATTGCGACGTTGGACTGCTTTGCTTTCAGAGAATTGCCTTTACGGGTGTTCCTGGTTGCCAAGGAGGGGAGACCTTTGCGGCCAACACGGATTTTTGTATTTCCATCGCCACAGAGAACCCAACTGGCTCGCCCACCACAAAATCCCCAACGTTTGGACCCACTGGATCGCCCACTATTGATACCAGTATTTCCAAATTGCCTACAGGATCTCCCGCCATTGACACCACGATGAGTCCAACCACAACTACTGAATCGCCAACGGTCGCCACAGATGTGACCAACCCACCAAGTGAGGCGCCTGCATTGAATGCATCTACAGCCAGTCCAACAATCATACAACCAACCTCAAACAAACCTACTACTCCACCCTCAGCCAAACCTAGTAATACCCTTCCACCCACAATCAATTCTACTTCAAGATCCCCAACGATTGCACCATCCACACAACCTTCTGCGACGCCGACCACAGCAGTACCCACGACAAGTTCACCAACGAGAGCACCGACAGTAGAGCCCACACCGCTACCTCCGTTCAGTATTGCACCCACGACAATTGACAGGCCCCTTGCTGAAGTTGTTGGCAACAACGGGGATCCTGCCTCCTCCTTTCCCTTGCAACTCTGCCAGGGAGATTGCGATCGCGATGGAGAGTGTGCTTGGGGACTCTACTGTCATGGCCGTTCGGAACCAGACAGTCCGATTCCGGGTTGCACCTTGGAGGATGGAAGTGGGGTGGGGAATAACGATTTTTGCCTTCGTTTGCCGTCCATACTGCCTGGAGCCTTTCGATTGCGTCTCTATTGGGAAGAAGGTAAGTCAACTGACTTCTTTGCAGAAAGTATATGATGGGAGAATTCGACTGACCCAATTTCTCATCCTGTTGGAAGGCTATGAATGGCAGAATTCAACGAGGGAATCCTTTTGGTGTGCCACAAACAGTTTCAATGGGTGGCCGGGGACGGGGTAAGTTGGAATAGGATCTTTCATGATGCAAGTTGATGTACCGGTATGTCCTGGCAAGTCGTCTCAAGCTCTACTTGCCGTACCACAGGAGGTGCTGGTATGGTGATCAAGTCGAAGAGTGCCTCTCCAATCAAACCTTCTTGGCTAGATGTGATGGTACTGGGTTGGAGCCATGGCAGCAGGCCTTCCTCTTTCTACCCGTCAACGATGATGAAGTACTCATTCAATCTGCAGCTGTCGCTGACCAAAGATGCTGGCGACGCAGCAGACGAGAATTATTTCTGACGGAATGCGATCCCAACGATCCCATGCAGCGATGGATCGCCTCCAATGGAACCGCTTTCTTTGACGAAGACAATCGATTTGAGATATCTCAAGCAGGATTCAACAGTCAGTGTATATCCAACGATCACCATCCCAAGCCTGGAGAAGTTATAGAACTTCATAGTTGTGAGGCTTTGCGAGCTCCAGACTCGCAAACAGCTCTGTGGACAAAGTACTGATGTATTCCACGTCTTCATGTGAGCCGGAAACATGCATCATGGATTGCAAAGCTTTGCCATCACACGAGGCGAACTGGGGTCGGGGACGGTAGCAGGAATGAAAGGTCGGAAGTACCAGTAGCAATCTTCAATTAGCCAAACAAAACAAGAGAACGAGTTCAGTAGCTTGCGGCGCAAGCAAGGTTTCAAAAGTGTTGTTTCCCTCACGAGCATTGGTTTCATGAGTTTCAGTCCAATTCTTAAGCCAGCGGAGCTGTGTAACCTCGGCAGAATGGTTTCCGTGTAGAAGCAGATACAGTACCATATAGCTAGCTAGTTAGAAGCAGATACCTGTAGTGCTTAGCTAGTGCTTAACTTCCGCTTAGCTAGCTAGAAGCAGATCCCCCCTAGCTAGAAGCAGATTCACATAGCAAGCTAGAAGCAGATACCCCTAGCTAGCTAGAATACTAGTTATCTAGCGAAAGCTAGCTTTAGAGTTTTTCCTGGTAGGAGCAGATCCCTCTACTAGGATGCATGTAAATAGCTTTAGCTGGTTTAAAAGCACCATCCTAGGATACTTATTTAGTTTTTGCTGACTTATTTGTATTCTAACCCTACCCTTATACCTACAGGGACCGCCGTAGCAGGAAAAACAATTAAAGGGGTTGAGGGCTCTGGCAGCAAGACTGCCGAGGTAATGATTCGAGACTCAAGGAATAAAATCCATAGCACTGCCCACCGGTACAATTAACCGAACCGTCGCACTTCGGAGAAGAAGGCTGTAGCTGCAGGCACTCTACCGGCACCGGAACGGTTGTTGTGAGAGGAACATCTATCTTTTCAAACCACAACATTTCAAAGACATAAAGGGAAAGCAGGTCCAAAAGAGCTTCTTGGTCAGCCTGCTATATCTAGGTGGCGGAAATAGGTCGTCGTGCCCCTCCTTCGGGCTTCAATCGCCTTATCGCTTGATCACTTCATCATGATTCCATAGCTATTAATTAGTCTACATGTATGGATTAATTCGATTCAGTTCAATCATTCATGCATGGGCGGTGTGCATACAGCTGTACCTGTATAAGTGTGTGCTGAACTTGAAGGCACCGCATTGGCTTAAAAGCCAAGTTTTGCTGCATCACAAGAAGTAAGAAGTAAGAGCAGTGGAGAAGATGGCGTGAGGACACAAGCGATCAAACAGAGAACAGAGACCTTGATCTTTGATCTGGCTCTGGATGCTGGTACAGAAATCGAGAGATCGTACTGGGTACTGGGACCCCTTCAAATAGTGATGGGCACCCCTTTGATACACCCATTGATACATACGTATAATACACGTATAATACGTGGTCCCCAACTCCAATACATACGTATTATACGTATTTAACTACTACTGCTAATTTTGGAGGTCTTAGCTATCCAGTTACCCTCCCTCTACTTAGAGGCCCACTAGACTTGGCTACAGATGCTGCATCATCCTCATCAAGGCCTAGATCTACCAAGAACTGGTCTAAATCAGCAGTAAGAGCTCCGCAAAAGCCGTCATCGACTGATCCCCAGATGGTTCAAGAGACTTTAGAAGCCTCAAGTTGACATAGCAATAGAGCAGCATCTTCACAATCTTGTTGACGAGACTATTTCGAACTGTAGAATGCACCACATAATGTGCATGGGAAGATGGACAGACCATAGATTAATACAGTATAATACAGTATTATACTGTATTATACGTATTATACGTATCAAAACTTAAAATACGTGTATTTGCCCATCACTACCTTCAAAGCCATCATGCACAGAATGGCGGAGCACCGACTGTCTGTGAAGGACTGAATCGAATCAACCAAACAGTCGCCAGTAGCCAAGAGCTCACCCAACATCGTCTCATTATGTTTGCAAGTTGAGGAGGTGCTACGGTAGTACTGGTACGGCCTTAAAACTACCAAACGGCCTTGGTACATGGGCTGACAAAAACTTCCTCTGCCTTGGCTGAGGTGGCGGTTCTAGCTAGCTAGCTGCCAGTATGGGTATTACCCACAAGGCTACGAACTCACCTGGCGCCATTTGCCCGTTTGCCCGAACCAGGTCCTACCTGGAGGATGAATAGCACAGCGCATACATACATACATGACCAGTGGTTGATATGCGAAGGGTAGCAATGGATTCGTCAGTATTCGTCAAGGCAACTTAGCTTTGGGCCCGGGGGCCGAGTGCCGTGGGCCTTTTGGGTGCTCGGTGCTTGTACCTGGTACTATTATTTTACAGTCGGCGCCCCTTTCACATGTCCAGTGGTTACAAATGGGAAGGCCACTGTTGAGCTTTCTGCTACCAGCTACCAGCCACCAGCCACCACTATTTAATTTTGGTAGGGCTTGGGGCCGATTTGGTTTTTGTTATCCACTGAGCTACTCCAAGTCAGTCCAACCACACCTGCCAAGATAACTCGCTAGTACCGGTAGCCACTCCAGAGGGTACATAGCTACCTCAAGCTTGCTGATACGGGTAGACTACTACATCTAGCTAGCAGCAACATTGCAACACCGTTGACAAGCTGCGATGACCGTCGACAAACTTTTTAAATTTTGTGCTTGTTGGGGGTTGGGAGTTGGGAGTTCTTCGTTCTTCATCGGCTCTTCGATTCTTCGAGCTCGCGAGGTTTCGGAGGGGTTCGAATGAAATAGCAAAACGCCTGTAAGCACGAATAGAAAGTCATAGTTGAACTTTGAGAGCACTACTCGAGTGCTCTTCAAGATAGTCGAGCCCCGTTTCTAAGTCATTGAGTAAATTGCGGAAAGTGTTTACATTATTCAGAAGCATTTACGATGCTAGCTAGAATGCTAGAATGCCTTCTCTGGACAGAATTGATAGAAAGTCTGCAAGTTTCACAGCTTTTCCATAGACGTCTAATACCATAATTCCAAGAAAATTTTGTAAGTCGGCTATCCGTGGCTGACGAGTGACAATTTTTGACTTATGGCTGGTTGAAAGACAAAATTTAATATTATTTACTTTACAGAATGATTGAAGCAGCTTTATGCATACTATTTTAACTAGTACCAGCAATTTTATAAATATATTACTGTATTGGTAATTGATATTTTAAAATTAGTTAATACCGCAAAAGGTGATACTACAGAAGTAGCACCATTAGCTCACCATTCCAGCAGCTCTGAATTCTGAATGACAATTAATTGAGCCGGTCCTGCAAGATTGCATACTGGGTTTACTATGTGGTTTAGTTGAAGTAATGACTTGCTTTCTTGACATTCTGGCAAGCCCTTATGTCGTTGAGCTTGATCTGCCTCAATGCTGTTTTCACGCGATAAGGAACGTGGTCTTGTGCCGTACCTGTCTTCCTGTCTTGTCCACAGTCCACAGTAGACTGGTACGGTAGAAACATTGCATGGCCACTTTGGCAGCGAACAGCGAAGCTGGATAACTGTGACTGCAGCTGTCTGCGTAAGCCACTGGGTACTGGGTGCTGTACTGTAGTTCTGGGGCAATCTGTACGCTTCTTATCGGAAACGTGAGATAACCACGTCGTCTCTACCAGCGCTCCGCAAATGGTTGCTTTTATGCATACTAATATGCCACAGGTCAAGGCAGTGTCTATCTTGACTCACAACTCACAACAGCCCACTTCACAAACTCTAAAAAAACACGCACCTCTCTACTAGCTAGTCTCTTCTGGCATAAAAAACCAAGATCATTTTCGCTTTCATCAGCAGCCAATTTCATCAATCATCAAGCAACATCAACATGAGCATCGGACCCATTATCGTTCAACCCGCAGGTGAATGCAACAGCAACAGCCACACTGACGAGACAATGGCCCAGTCTGCCTCATTGTCATCGGAAGAGCAAGTCCATGAAAAGTCAAAGCAAACAGTTATGAATCCCAAGCGAGTTCGTTTCTCCCGACATGTGACATGCCGAGAAGCGGCCAAGAATCACTTTCACTCTCCTCACCAGAACAAGGTCCTTTGGTATAGCCGAAGCGAACTAAAGGAGATTAAACGAAAGACCAGGGAAATGTGCCTCCAGCAACAACAGCAAGAAAACCTCCAAAAGCAAAAGCAAAAGCAAAAGCAACAACAGGGACAAGAACAACAACAGGACAACGTTGTCCTGATCAGAAAGGCACATGAAGTTCGGGTCGAAACAACCAACACCAACACAGTCGGTCCTGTCTATTGCAGGGCAGCATAGCTTCGCCATGCAATAGCTAAATGCTTATTAAAAAGATATCGGTTATCTTCACTCAGATTGCTTATGTGTACTTAACTTAGCTACAGTTGCTAGCTAGCTAGGAATCCAGCTGCATTGGGGATGATAGCCGTGTCCTGCAATCGCTACCGTACCAGTACCGTCGATTGACTCGACTCGCGAAACGGCGAATGGAACCCTTCCTGAATGGATGATGTCGTGTCTGCTTCTGCCCGCCAAGCCCTTCCCTTCCTCCTCTCTCACTACACTTGTGTCCTGCGGATCCATACATTCTGCTATGGTGCATGTTGCGGCGGCTAAAGTGTCTTTCCGGTCCAGATGTACATGCATGTTGTTGGGCTCGTTGCCGTTGATGTTACTGTTACTGTGGCAAGCCCACCCTGTTTGCTTGGTGGTGCCCAATGTGCCCAAACAGCAAACCCACTCCAACGGCCATCTCCAAGCAAGCAACCAGAAAGAAGCTAGCTACCAGGACCAATGTTGTCCCTCAAGGCAGATCACTGCCAGGCAGTTCTTCAGCTGGAAGCATTCTTTTGCCCTGTATGTTGTTGACCCATTCCCCATCACAAACCTGGCTGAATAGCCTTCCTCCTCTTGCCAAAGCTAGGTCTAATTGCCTAGTAGATCTATTCCAGTCTGTCTCCAAGACTCTTCTTCCACATGCCAAGTCACATCTGTCCCCTGGTCTCCCTAGACCCTTTCCACCAATGTTGCATGCTGTCTTGGTATAGATAGAGGTTTGATCTCAATTCGTTGGACTCGGGAGCATCAGAAGAGCACCAAGGTCTGTCTGGAAAACGTTTGCTAGTAGCTACAGTCTGCGTGCGGGCACAAGAATATGTATGTGAATCCAAATCTTATTATGCACTGGTATTTGTAGCTTCATATTGATGCCTCAACACATCATCATTCTAGGCAACCGAGTCGGATTCCTTCATGATTGCATCCTGTGTCATCTGAACATCGTCGTGGAAGTGAGCATCCTTGGCAGCTGAACGGCGGCTTCTCCACCAGCAAAGGCCCCAAATGGGCAACAGAATAGCCAAGGCAATAGCAAAGCCTACACCAAAACCAATTCCACCGGCTTTCTTTGTGTTGGGGTGGTCCTCAGCTTGCCTCGCCCCGTAAACAGCACCGGCCCACTTGATAAGGTACTGTTCAATCTTCACGTGGTCCTTTAGTTCGTTGGCAACAGTTTGTTCTTCGTCGAGGCTCGAGAGCTCACCGGCAAACTCGGCAAAACACCAACGAGCCATTGCTCCCTCCGGGTGAATCGGATTGGCTGCCGCATCGCTGAGAGACTTGGCAGGGTTGCTCATGAGCAACTTGAATTGTCCCTCGACGCACCATTGCGCAAGGTACGGCTCCAATTCAACACGAGTTCCAACGGTGGGGTTGACCATGGATGCATCCAGCCAGCGCATAAAAAACGGTTCTATTTGAACGTGCTTGGTTGCCATTTTCTGGAGGGTTTCCTCTCGCTTTTGATCTTTGAGTTCAGTTGGGAACTCATCAAAACAGTAGCGTCCCATGTAAGGTTCAATACGCACATAGTCACGGAACCTGACCAAGTGGGCCTCATTGTAGCCAGTCCAATCGGTGATCTGCTCCGGAAATTGGGCCGCGCACTATGCCGGGAGGGGGATAAAAAAAACAGTCAGTACTTCCAACATGCATTGACACTTCAAGAGTATGAGTGTCTCGTGAACTGCTTTTCGATGCAAGATCCACACTGGTGTTGGTGGGCTATCGTCCCCCAAGAATTCAATGAAACTTACCCACTCTGCGATGTATGGCTCCACACTAAGAACATTATGGCCTCCAGCCATGGCAGCACTGATGCTGCTGACAGCAACCAACACAGTGGTGATGAAACTTTGCTTTGCGTACATCATCATTGTTTTTGTTCAACTTGGGTTGCCAAAATAATATGTTGTAGCCTTCCAATCAATGGATGGATGTTGTTTCTGATCCTCTCCAAAACTTTAACTCCATCGCATGATGTCAGTCCGCGAAAGACGAAGGGCTCATTCACGGATAGTTTTCTTGTGGTGGCCCTTAAGTAATCAACTCCCACACCACCATCAGAAGCGTGCTGCAAACACGAGACACGCGCCGCTCAAGAACAAAGCTTGGGTCAACCTCAGCCAGAAGCAGTCAACAGAGGGGAGGATCGTGTCGTCGTGATGCATCCCACCCCAGGATCAATCGGTCCGTGCCTTGACTGTGCCACAACCTCCACACGGAACTCATTTGGTTGAGAGGGCGGGTTGCCCGTGGCAGCGCGGCAGCACAACTTTGTTTCAATCCAACAGACTCTCCTCTCCCTGCACTCAATAAGGTGCAACGGCACCGTGGTCTTCTGGCTTCAGGCCGCTCTACCAGGAGCTAAAGGAGAAGGGAAATGTGGCCCTCTGGCTCTTGTCCCCTCAGAAAGTAGAAAAGACGTCACATCAGCCAATCCAACTACCAGAAAACACGCCAGCCACTCGATCGGATCACATGACCAAGAACACACTCACCTTTGCCAAGGTGCATGATGCACTTATCTATGCCTTCAAGCAACAGAGGATCAACTCTATGGCTTATTCAATGCAAGTGCATTCAACACGGATTAACAATGCTACAAAAGCAAATAACCACGCAGGTTTCTCCAGCCATCACCCCGCATGTTGAGTGCCAACATTTTTGTTCCGAGCGAGGTGACCTTGTGTTGTCGTCTACTTGGTTCATGTCAAGAACTGGTGTGGCGATATGACGGATCCATGTAGTGTTTGGTTTCGAACTGCCAAAAAAGGATACCAGGACCTTGCTATTCACCAATTTGATTTCTGGCTAGACTATTGGAGCAACTTGCACTGAAGCATACGGTACCGGTAGGAAAGCAATCGAAGGCAGGTTGACATCCTGGAGCCTAGGCTTCTATTAGTAGGTTTTCTGGGCCGTCCACGCAATTGGAGGGACCACCAAGGTCATCCACATTGATACTTGTTTGAGAGATCTCTTGCGAACTACCTCGCACCTTCTTAGAAGGAAGCTGCAACATCTTCAATCCGAGCCATGACAGCAGCCAAAAGAAGGTTAGGCCACTTACAAAAAGAACCAATGATGTCACTGACAGGTGAAAATTAGACCATGGTTGAATGACCACCAAAGCACCAATAAGTTGGGCCGCATCAATAATATAAATGACGGCTGCAAGTGTGAGCCGGTGTGCATAGGAACCCAGGAAAGCACCCACTGGAGCTCCAATAACCACGATAGGAACACACACAGCAAAGAAGCCCCATGCTTCCTCTTCCACTCCGCCCATGCCGAACTGTCGGTAAGCAAAGCCAATGGTGGTATTGATTGCCATGAGGACAACGGATGTAGGTGTGGCTACCTTCTCGCTAACTCGGAAGAGCAAGGTCAAAGCTGCAAAGGAACAAATGTCAATCCCGGACCCAGCCATGGATGAGAAGATTCCCCCCAGTATGCCAAAGCAAACAAGGCTCTCTCGTTTCCAACTCAAACTCAAGTAGGGGCGCAAGATGGAGCTTGCGGGTGGCCGCCAGAGCACTCCATCCTCCCAGTTTTTGATTTGGTCGTGTACTTCGCGGTGGTGGTTTCTATTCAATAAGAACAGACCAATAGCAAAGGAACTCCAGATGACAACAAAGTACATTTTTGAGTAAGGTGGAGTGAGCCTTGGCGCCACTTCTTCCAATCCAAGGATGATTCCTACAATGCCACCCAAAGTCACATAGAGAATAGCCTTCCACTCAACTTGGATTCTCATAACCAGGATGGTAAACCTGTTGATGGAAACAAGAGACATGATAAATCAAGACGATGGCGCAGTAGATTCAGTTTGCCAGACTCAGAGAGTGGACGTACGAGGATGCGACCATGCCAACACTTTGTATCATGAACGCAAAGTCACGGGCGACAGGAGGCGCGATCCCCAGCGCTAGCGTCATCACAGGAAACGCAACAGCTCCACCACCTTCTGAAGTGGCTCCTGCAACTAGACTTCCAAAAATCATTGTGATGGACATGAGATACCGTGGCTTGGCGAGCGAACCGGAAGGTTCGACAAACAAGTAGAAGTAGTTGTTGCTGATCATCACGGACCACCAAACTGCATGTACAATCAAAGCAGGAAAGCCAATTGCCAACGTTTTGCGATGCTTCAGCCAGAATGTGTGCTTGTCACCTTGTGTGGCCAGTGTTGCTCGTTGATCTAGAAGTTGTCCTTCCAAGAAATAGCGTCGGCAGAAATTCCGTAGTTCCTGACACCATGGTGTGCTTTCCTTCTCCCTATTTTCAACCACGGCGGATCCAATACAGCGATTGGATCGCACCGCCTCCATATGATGGTCCATCTCATGATGAGTTGGATCTGTTGAGGTTGCCATGATCAACCCAAGGATGGAGAAAAGTGACAGAGAGAACTCGACGAAGGAAAGAATAAATAAATAAATAGGCATATGCGAACTCCAACAAGGGGAAACTTCACAACACAGCAGAACTGACTAAACCTTTCCAAGCGTCGGGATGTGGACTCGAAGAGCTACTCGAAGGCACTCTGCTAGTTTTCTTCCCTTGCTCCCCCCCCCCCTGACACCTTCTCCTTCTTTGTTTTGATGTTACTACTCTGCTCCCTCGTTTGTTGGGCTTGCATTCTTGCCCCTGCCCTCCTTCTCTGCACCCATCCTCCCATAGTCCCCTCTAACCATAGTAACTTCCCCGTTCTCTGAACTATTGAAGAGGAAGACATGACCTTTCTCTCGCTGGGGCAACATTGATGGATCAGATTGCGTTACAACTTGTACTATGGAATACTACTTTCATCAAGCAGCCGCTTCAAAGCACAATGGTATGGTATCTACTTTGTCTTGGTTGCCCAGAGCCAGCTTACTACTCGAACACACCGGTCCCAACCTACGTGGCTGGGTAGCATCGCTTTCTCTCCCACAAAATTAGTACAGTCGTGCCAGATCAACCAAGGCTCGTGGTGCACCCACCAACACCCACACCTCCTCCACCTCCAACTCCAGCCTGAGTCTCGATGCCGTCGATGGTTCCACCGAGACCGAGAATGGTACAAACGTTTGCAACAAAAATGCCAACACCAGCTGCTCCACCGGCTGAAGATTGTACCGCCCAATTGATCAAGTCCTGATACGTTCCAGTCCCTGCGGCAATGTCAAAAACAAAAGTTATATAAGCGACCAAACGAAATTGCAAGAATCCAATCGCAGACGTACGGCACCGGTACGTACCATGAACACCATAGGCAAACATCAACCCAAGTCCACCACCAGCTTTTCCACCAATACACCATTTGTTCAGGGTCACTGCTGCTGCATCGGCTTCTCCCTGCGCTGACAGGACTTGAAATCCGACATTGCCAGCAGCGCCTACTTCAATCCAAAAGCCGTATGTCGTTGTGCTGCCAGGTTGACTCTGATTGGGATCAGTTTCATTATTTCCAGAGCGTTCGCATTTTCGGACCAGCGCTCGCAATTCTTTGTGAGGAGGGGGGTTTGCCTCCAATGCAGCTGCAAAGGAATCCACCATGTTGTTACTTCGCAAACCAAACGGACCATTGAGGGTTTGAACTCCTAGTGTGAACTCGGACTCTGTGAATCCTGCATATTGCAATATGGTTTGCTTGTATTCATCCGGATCAAAGGTTTCCTGATGCTTCACGATGGCATTGGCGATGCAGTTGATGGGTTTGCAGCGTCTTCCAATGGTCACATCCACGCATTCCAAGCCATCGGCGCACTGGTTGTTGTTTCCACAGCGTTGGCCTTCTTGCCGGTCAGTGTTTTGCAGTTTTCGTTCCCCGCTGAACGCTTCTTCCAATTGAAATTTCGCAAAGTCGGCTCCTTCGATTTCAATCGCCTTATCAATGGCGGCAGTCGCAATCCTCTCAAGATCTAGACCTTCATCTTGAATTTCCGCAGTGGCTACCACAAAGGTAATGGCAAGCCAAAAAAGGCTGTTGGAGTATCCGATCATCATCTTGCTGTTCTTCCTTGCGCGTCTGCCTCAACAAAATACACGCAGAAAAAGGAAACTTTGCCTCATTCATTCATTCATGATGTCTCGGGTGAGCACCTCCGCTCCATTGCAAGATCCATTATTATGCCGTCCCGCAACGGATACTGGTCCAATATTGGAGCTGCAACAACGGATAAAAGCAGGTTGCCTCCAAAGATGGACATAGCAAAGGTCAAAGAATCTAGCGATATCCGTTTGAGCGTTGGAGATGGTCAACCTTTGCCGATGAATTCAGTCACCGTTGCTCGGCTGTTGACTCCCGTCCCACAGAATCGGAATATTCGAATTAGCTACTCGAATAGAATACGATACGAAATGTGTCAATTAAATACGTGACTCCGACTCAGAGTTGACTCGACTCGACTCATCAGATTAAAAATCAAGTAGAAGCCACGTGCCTACAACCCTGGGGAACTGTACCGAAGAAATAGATTTAACATTCAAACTGGTCTGGAAAATGAATAGCATGAGGGGCCATAATACTTCTATTTAATGGTCATAGCAATGGTCACAGCTTACAGGAATTTTAAAATTGAAACCAGTAGCTTGTGCCTCTCGTCAACAACGCAACGGCACAACTTTCGCTCCTCATCTGTTTGTTTCCTCGCTTCGGGGATTGCCCTCAGGCGCGGTCCTAACCAGCTATTTGCACCTCTTTCTTCCTCCCTTCGTTCGTGAAATCAATTTAACTGTTAAAATCGGCTTGCTTTCCATCCATTTCCACGAAAGCTGCGGTACGGCGAACCATTGATTTCACATTATCAATTCGCCGTACCGCAGCTTTCGTGGAAATGGATTTGGCTTAGAGCCAGCCGAGCTTCCGAAAACGTCAGTCGTCAGTCACCCAACGAATCCTGGTTGATCCACATCAATCCTGGTGGATCCACACACCAGATTCTGCCAAAACGCAATCACCGTACGTCAGGAAAACTCGTGAAAATCGCATATGATTGTTCTTTGATAGAATCTCGTCGTGCATGAACGTGCGAACCACTGTATGTGGATAGGAATAAAATCTTGATTCGTACAACTAAATAAATCGACGAAAATAAATGTGTTTCGCGAATGCACGGAGGACACACATGGCGAATGGATAGGACCTCGCCTCAAGCATCAGCTGGCCTGGCGGTGCTGCTACACCAAACTAGAAGAGCTCGAGAAAGAGAAAGAGAGAGAAAGAGAGAAAGAAAGAGACAGGTACCGGTAGTAGCTGCTTGGCACTGATCTACCGGTACGACTGCTAGCTAGCCCAGCTCTCGTTTTCCACGTGGCCAAGCCATCGCAGTCGTTCCCGGTAGGTTTGGATCCAGACTAGCTAGCAGGTGTGAGTTGAAGTCCCAAGTGGAATTGTCATCTTGTACAGTAAGGTGGGCGACAGAGAGAAGAGTATTGTCAAGACAACATACATCAAACCTACGCAAAGTGACTGAGAGAATCATCGATCTGTTCGAACAGATCAATCATCGCCCAAAAGCAACTCCCGCGCTTGATTATCTCCATTCGACACGTATTGGAAGCCACCATGGCTTCTTCCTTTTGTCCACTGCCGCCAGACTTGGCCAGCAAGGCACGGTTTCCCACTGGCTGTCCCATAATCTTTCTAGATGACAGTTCCAACACGGAACACTCTGACCACATGAGGCAGTGGAAGAGGGGAAGAGTTACAGAGGTTGGAATTGACTTTCAAAATGCAGCTCAAGGAGTTTGCTACAAGGTCATGGCAAGAAATGGCGAGGAAAAGGAGTCCACTCGGATTGTTTCAGAAAATACCATCGTTTTTGCTCCTCGATCACCTGTTTGGGTGTCTCTTGCCTCCTCTTCAACAGACAGAACTAGAACCAAGCACAAGGGGATTGTGCTTCAATCCAGCCACGACAAGGATGATCATGCCACAACAACAACCACAACAATAACAACATGCCAAGTCCAATACACAATTATGATTCCAGGAAACATCCTTTGCAACATTGCACCAAATGACATTGAGTATAGAAGAACCACCACCAAAGAAATGGAGCAGCCTCAAGAGGAACAACCGACACAGACAGGAAACGGGGAAACACAGGAAACTCATACGCAAGAAACGCCAAGTCGATTCACAACAACAGAACAAACCTCAGAAGCAGAGCAACAAAGGGATCCTAATAAAGTGCTCAGCAACAATCAGCTTGAACAAGTCCAGACAGCAACTATCTGTATGGAAGACGTGAATGACGTCGAAAACGAAGAGGATACGAGGCAATGCGATCAAGCAGATGACGCGGAATCAGTCGCCATGGTGGATTCCTTGAAGGAAAGGAAAGACGAGGAGAAAGGGTTCCGCAGAATGGCTACGAGTGCGACTATGCATACCAGTGCCAGAGAACCAGAGAGTGATGACGACAGAACCGCTGATATCGACACCAGTTCGACGAGACAATCGGCAAGCACACATCCACTTCGTCCCTACAACCACAGGATACCCGTATTAAGAGACGAACACGAGACGTTGTCCACTTCTGCTTCTATGGATTCTACTCCGTCCTCCAACACGGTGTCTTCTACTTACGAAACCATGGCAGCGTTTCCCCTACGATCATCCACCACAACAGGCAAATCCACATTGGTGCCCGCAGACACATCCGCCAGCATGGCACAAACATCAACCAAGCCGTCGTCGTCGTCCAAATACAAGGCCATGGAAACTTCTCACTACCCAGCCGCATACACAAACGCACCCAGGACGTCTTCTGCAGACGCGTCCACGGCGCCCACTACTATCCATCGTGTTGTCTCTGAATCATCTGCCGAGCAAACTCGTGGTTACAGCTCATCTTCTCACAACAACAACAATGATCATCCAGATCATGGCAGCACATCAGTGCCAACCAACGCGGGTACTACTACATGTACTACTAGAACTGTAGTCTACAATCCGCAGCCAAATCCATTTCGTCAGATTCATCGAGGAACACATCATCGGTTGGGTGGGGTGGTCAAGACTGTAAAGTGTCGACACGAAATGACGGCGGAGGAAGAGGACCTGCTAAACCGAATATGCTTGAGATACCACATTCATGGTATGTGTAATCGCGGGAATCTCTGTCGTTGGGGAAACAGTCACCGAAACTTGACTGAGAATGAAGCACATTGGATAGAGAACGCACTTTGTTCTGCCATTACCCCGCACGGACCCATTAGGTCGCGCCAAAGTCAACGAAGAACGACCCCTCAATCTACATCAGCGCAACTTAGTAGTGGCAGCAGGAGAGTGTCTGCTGCTGGAGCCGGCTTTGCGACAAGTCCAAGAAAGAAAGCGAGGGACGATGGCATCGAGGTCAAATCAAGAGTGCCAATAAAGAAGCGGAGAGTGACCTTGGAGGAGCCACCAAAGGCGTCCGTCACATCAACATCAACATCAACATCAACGGTAGACAGAGCCTTGTCGAGGTCGTCGTCCACTCGATACTTTCTGCCCGTACTAGACTTTGGGACCGCATTCTTTGAGCAGGTTTTTGCCCGAAAAGGGGAACGGGTTGGCGAGACATACGGCTGCGAACTGACGCTTGAAGGAAGTGCGCTGCGGCAGAAGGAAGCATCCGCACACGCGAAGAGACCGGATCTATTTGTCAGAATCGTAGGGGAAACTTCCAAGTTCTCGGCTTGCAAAACAGCTCTGAAGAAGATATTCATTCATGGCCTGGACAGCAAGCTTCAAATCTTTCTCCTTTTTCGATTGAGCATGATCAACAAAAAGTCTGACAACAGGATCGTGATGATAAAGGATCCGTCTTCGCTTGGATGGGGTTCCAGTTCAGACACACAGTTTATTACAATCGTCAAGATCAAGTCCAACCATGGGCTGGATCGAATTTGGCAAGAACAGGAGGCCTTGGAATGTGCCTTCTCAAGATGCAAGCTGGCTGTGTTTCACCGATGCAAGACCTTTTCCAATGTCAAGCCCTTTGTTTGCATTTCCGGAGCGAATGCTCACGATGTCCACAAATGCCAGCGTGGCGTGGAGATCTGCTTACACAGGCGGCACACGTAGATCCTAAAAAGCAAGATTTAGTGCTAGATTTGCGGACATGTATCTTGTACAGGATATCCATTGAAAGTTGGCTCGTTCCATCAACTAGCTAGGACCTGGTCCCCCGCCTGGATAGCCTTATGGTACGGTACTAGCTAGCGAGACCGGCAAAGTGTTCTGAGATAGGCGAGGTTGGAAACAGTGCAGGCGGGCTGGCATCATGGTGTGGATCAAGGCATCCTACGATGTAGCATAACATGAGATCTTAGCAGATCTTGATGGTTTTGCTGGAGAAAGACCACGATCCACGTCAGCCCTTTCACTAAATACCGGTACCTGGTACACCGGTACTCGTACTGTACAAGAATGTCACAGCTCAAATTGGATCTAATGCTCATGAGTGGAGTACCGTAGTCTACTCGGATCAGAGTAGGATTTAGTGTTGCCGGTACAAAGAAGCGGTACTAGTACAGTACTACTAGCCAGTTGATTACGGTACTAGCTAGTACTACAGTATTATTGCTACGCGTACGGTAAAGCCACAACGACTACCTGGTAGCAGCTGTATTACAGCAGGACCACATGAAAGCCGTCAACGTCAGATTGAAGGCTGGCTCCACCCTCCGATACCCATTTCCCATTTTTGACGTCCACCACTCCAATCGAATCTGCGATTGCTACTTCTTAGGTATTGGTATAACGATTCCTTTCTTTTCCTCAGATCCTTTCTCACAAATCGTGGTCTCTTCAAACTGAAGCCTCAGCATCAGTAGCAGCTTTCACATCAACATGGACCGCAAGAATACGAAGCAGTTCCCTACTGCTGGCCGCGAACCTGTGGTTTCAGCAGAGGAAGGAGAGTTACCTGATGGAGCCATGGGCATGGACTTGGTTGCTGGGAGCGAGGATTTGAGGCTGTCAAAACTTGTTGCTGCTCGAATCACACCATCAACCCCAGCAACAGCTTTCAAGGTGGACCGGAAAAATACAAAGCAGTTTCCCGCTGCTGGCCACGAATCAGTGGTGCCAGAAGAGGAAGGAGAGGTGCTTGATGGAGCCTTTCCAATGGACAATGACTTGGTTGACGGGAGCGAGGATTTGAGGCTGTCAAAACTTGTTGCTGCCCGTCTGGGTGAGACCAAAGAGATTTCATGTCAGAACGAGCATGACATGACAACGCCTTCTATGACCCCTACTTCTATGGCCCCTACTAGAAAAGAAGACGTCTATGCACCAACCAACGGACCACTTGAAGACTCCAACAAGCCGACCAAACAAGAACATGATCAGTTTTTGCTCAATGAAGATAAAATTGAAGCCAGCAATCCTTCGGGCATGGCAAATGCGTCAACGAACGGACCACTCGAAGACCCAGGCGAGCCAACAAACCCATCACATCATCCGTTTTTGCAGTTTTTGCTCGCGGACGAGAATACTGACACAAGCAACCCTTCTGGTATGATGGGCAGCTCTGGCACGAATCAGGGAACGGAAGCCACTTCGAGCGGACAACAAGACAGCTTGCCAGGTGCCTATGCGATGGCTCCATCGGGCACCAACAACGACGGCTTGAATGGTGTAGATCATTTGCCACCGAATGAGCATCAATCTGGTGTATTGACATTTGATCATTGTCCGACGACTGCAAGCAGTAACACCTCCTTAGTTGATGGGGACATTCCAGTAGCGAATATTGTTGGTAATGATCGTGATAACACCATTCCTGAGGCCACACCAGAAGACCTCAAAGCAAAAGATGGGCGGAGAAAGCAGAGAAAAAGACAGCTCACACGAATCGGAGCTCTGTCTCTTGCTTTCTTTTTGATTGTTCTAGGACTTGTTCTGGCAATCATACTATTCAAGGTGTCAAAAGATCAAAAGACTGACATTGAAGGGCCTGTCTCTACAGCGTCGCCATCGGTTCCACCCTCAATGCCCCCTTCACAGTGGCGACAGGGCGATATTGCTCTTCAGCTAATCTCTGACTACACCAATGTGATGCTTGACGACTTGGAGTCGGCCCAGTATCATGCCTACCAATGGTTGCTGGACGACATTGAAATGCACGAAAACAAGCTTGCAGATGAGCGAATTCTTCAGCGTTTTGCCCTTGCCACGTTGTATATGGCAACAAATGGTGACAGCTGGTCCGAAAATGATAACTGGTTAAACCATTCAGTCCATGAATGCTTCTGGTATTCAAATGACTACTTTTTGGAGGACTTCGACGAAGAGCCTTATGAGTATGTGCAAGTGGTTCACCCCAATCCTTGTGAGATCCCACCCACAGACAACACAGATGTGTCAGTGCTTCCAGAAGAGTCAGAAAACACGTATGTTCATCTCTGGCTTGCCAACAAGGAGCTAAAGGGTACCATTCCTCCTGAGCTATTCTGGTTGACACATCTCAGGAGTATTTCCCTCTATAGCAATGATGGTGTTTGGGGCTCCATTCCTTCATTGATTGGGCATCTAACCAACCTGGAAGCTATCAATATGGGGGGCACAGCAATCTCAGGTCTTGTGCCTAGCGAGCTCGGCTTGTTGTCAGATACAATGCACAGCATTGCCATCATCAATGCTCTATTGGAAGGAAGCCTCCCATCAGAGCTGGGTCTCTTGCACAGGATGCATGATCTCTTGGTGGATCAAAATGGACTCACAGGAGTTGTGCCAGATGAGTTAGGCAATGCATCAAGCCTGCAATGGATATATTTGAATAATAACTCATTCACAGGGACCTTTCCAGTCTTCATGGTGCATTTACCTCTGCAGCAGTTGTATCTTAATGGGAATCAATTTTCCGGAGCCATGCCAACTGAAATTGGCTTGTTAAGTGAGATCAAGAAGTTTTATGTCTACGGAAACAGATTCACTGGCACCATTCCAACTCAGGTGGCTCAAATGTCGTCTGTTAGCGATCTTGACTTTGATGACTGCTACTTTACAGGGACTCTTCCAACCGAGCTTGGTCTTCTCACGAAGATGACAAACTTCTGGGCTGCTCAAAACAGTCTAACTGGAACCATCAGCAGTGAAATTGCACAGAACTTCAATCTTTCATACTTCAATGTATTTGAGAACCATCTTTCCGGAACAATCCCTGCTGATTTTGGCCAGATTTCCAACTTGATAGATTTCCAAGCAGACTCAAATGAATTGACTGGAACAATACCAGCTCTTGTGGCGGAGGGATTGAGTTTGGAAAACAACAACTTGTCTGGGTCGCTTCCACAAGGGCTTAGCCCCTCTATTGAATGGTTGGAACTCTCCAACAACACTCTATTGACTGGCCCTCTCCCTGTGGGCCTTACAAATTTGAATTGGGTATTTCTGACCGGCACTCGGATCTCTGGAGTATTGCCAGATTATGTTTGTGATATTGAAACACTGGAGTTTGACTGCAGCTCAATTCTCTGTGGGTGTAGCTGCACTTGCAGCAACAATTCCAACAGCACAGCAGCTAACATTCTTGCCAAACTCTCGGCTAAGCAGCTGCCATAGTTGCTCAAATTAAAACTACACTAAATGAATAGGTTTTTGTGGGAGACACAGCTTGACCACAACGATCTACATACAATGAATGAAAGGCAGCAATCATCACGTTCTGTTGGCTTTTGGCACCATCCAAACGATAAACCAATAAACAATGTGTTGCTGCAGCAACAGCTGTTGCTGCGCTGTATCCTGCCTCTTTTTCATAGTTGCTCGTGGTTTGTCTGTGCTTGTTGGGATCCGACCGCGGGATGCCAAACACAGCCACATCATCAGTCCGCTTCTTGTAAAAGCCCACAAATCGCGGGAACTTTGTTAGGGATCATATTTTGTACAGTAAAGACATGCCCACCCGGAGAACCTAAACAACACTAACAAAGACTCCAACAGACAGATCCTTGTGAATCCCAATATCCGAAATGCAAAACAAGACAATGAGCTCCATCACGGGCAGAGAGTGGTGGATTGTTTTTGGTGTTCTCTTTGTCGCTTGCCCTTGCCACAAGGGAGGAGAGAAGCTGTTCAAAAAGGAGAGAAAGAAAGGTCGACTTGCACCAGTCATCGACGTCAGTATCGATCAGAGCATGTTCGATGGCTGCCACTCAAAACCCAAGGTTTCGTAACATTGCCACCATTATCGGTGTCACTGTTATTGATTGATTGTTGGAAGGCACTCAAATGCCGACCGCCTGCCCAGTTTTCCAACATGACCGTGGAAGATTTTGCCGACAGGATCGCTCATGACCGCTTCCACAACGGCTCCCATTCAATGTAGCCACAACAACAACAGCCCAAGGTGATATTGTTGCTGATAGCCTTCACGAGACCGATCGAAGCAGACTTATCGACTCGCGCATCCAGCTTTCCCAATGTCTTGTTTCGTGTCCTGGGCGTGGGTGTGCTTGGGAGGCATCCAATTCTCTCATTGTGGCAGTGTTTTTCCCGACTTGTGTCCCATGATTCTCTTACCACGACGTTGTTTCAATCTCGTGGGAGGCGGAGACCTGGTGGATTTTTATGAGCATGATTGTACGACCAAGACAATGGATGTTTCCTTTGTCGGTGGACCGCTGGACCGTGGTTCCCCACATTTGTCCATTTAGTGCGATACCGGTACGAGAGCTGCGGTGGCTTACTTGATGGATGGCCGATTCGACAACGATTGTACAATATAGTGATGGTGTCTTTTGATGGACTTAAACGATCTGTTCTGATCATCTGACCGAGCAAGGCGTTGGTTGTTCATGCTGATATCCGAACAATGAGTAGTTCGGGTATTTCGTCTTCTCCTTGCTCTGGCTTCTTCATTTATTTGACTCACCAGAACTGGTTGAGACGTCACAGCATGCAAAACTGATGGTGTCCCCTTGGCTTGTGCCTCCGATCCACCATCCGCTGCCACGCGTCGTTTTCCGGAAAACACACAATTCGATCTCGACAATGGCCACCAGACACCAGACATCAACGCCACGCGGGTTACGTTTCATAAAATACAAAATTCTGGAGAACCAGCGCACGCTACGAAGCTACTCATTATCTCATTTTCTCTGGTTATGTGCGACTAAAATCGAGACTTAAATCTCAGTTTCTCCAAGTAGTGAGAAAAGAATTATTACGTTATTACGGACGAAGTACCGCGAGAGACGATGACTCAAGAGACTTCATTATTTATTTAAAAAATACACGAGCCTCCAGGAAGCAAGGAACCAGCAAACAGGAATACGGTACTGTACCATGGTAGAGAGATCTATTATGTTATTACTGTAGTATTGGTCAAGCTGTAAAGGAGAGCTAAAGGAGAAGGTGGGGACTGGCCCTTTGGCATGACTAACGGTTAACGGTAATACAGTCGATTTTTTTGTATTGGGTGATTTGAATTACTGCTCTTGTTCTCTTCAACTTGGCATTGCTTCAAAAAGGAATTAGAAGAACAAAAACTGTGGTAGAAGAACTATTAAATAACAGGTACAGCTGTACTCCTCCTAATACCTGGTAGTAGTTTGGAGAACGTAGCTTAATTCAGTCATGCGAAAGCGAAGGTACGAAGTGCAGTTGAAGTGCTCAGAAACAAGGCTACGAGAGCTGCTACGAGCTAACTCAGCAGCTACTCAGAGTCTACAGCCGTAGCATGTGAAATCCTTGTACTACCAGCCAGCAGCCACTTCTCTGATCGAGCAGCTAATAGCGTTGAACATTGAACGAAACCTCATTGGAAACCTCCTAGAAATTGCTCCCATTTTGAAGAAGTCCAAGACAGAGTAGCAAGGCACCCACCACTCCAATCAAATCGATCTTCAATCGCTGCTTCTTGGCGGACTTTGGTACCGGTACAACGATTCCTACTAGTATCGTCAGCAAGCGTGCTGTTGCCGTGCCCCTCTTTCAACAACTCAAATCGTGGTCTCTTCAAACTGAAAACTAATCGTCGGTAGCAGCTTTCAACATGGACCAAAAAAATATGAAGCAGTTTCCTGCTGCTTCTCGCGAAGGAGAGGTGTCAAAAGAGGAGGGAGAGCAAGTTGATCGAGCCTTTCTAATGAACCTTGACTTGGTTGTTGGGAGCGAGGATTTGGCACTGTCAAAGCTTATTTCTGATCGTCTGGGTGAGATCAAAGAGATTCCACATCAGAACGAGCACGATATGAAAATGCCTTCTTTGACCCCTACCAGAAAGGCAGCCGTGTACGCGTCAACCAACGGACCACTCGAAGACCCCAGCAAGCCAACAAAACAAGCACATAATCAGTTTTTGCTTGTGGATGCTAAAATTGAAGCCAGCAATCCTTCCTGCATGGCAAACAGCTCTGGCACGAATAATGGAACGCAAGCAAAATCCAGGGGGCAACAAGGAAGCTAGCCGGGCGTGTCTGGGTCAACCAACGGACCAATCGAAGACCCCGACAAGCCAATACATGTACATCATCCGCTTTTGCAGTTTTTGCTCATGGACGATATCATTGAAGCCAGCAATCCTTCCAGTATGGCAAACAGCTCTGGCATGAATAATGGAACCCAAGCCAATTCCAGTGGGCAACAAGACAGCTTCCCGGGTGCCTATGCGATGGCTCCATCAGGTACAAACGGCGGCTCCAATGATATTGATATATTGCCACCGAGTGAGCATCAATCTGAAGTATTGTCATTGGGTAATGGTCCGGCCACGGCGAGCAACTCCTTATTTGACGGGGGTATTCCCGTAGCGAATCTTGTCAGCGCTGATCGTGACAACACCATTCCCGAGGCCACACCAGAAGATCTCGAAGCTCAGATGGGGCGCAGAAAGCAGAGAAAAAGACCGCTCACATGGATGGGAGCTCTGTCTCTTGCTTTCTTTTTGATTGTTCTAGGACTTGTTCTGGCAATCATACTATTCAAGGTGTCAAAAGATCAAAAAGCTGACATTGAAGGGCCTGTCTCTACGGTATCCCCATCAGCTCCACCCTCAATGCCCCCTTCACAGTGGCGACAGGGCGATATTGGTCTTCAGCTAATCCCTAACTACACCAATGTGATGCTTGACGACTTGGAGTCGGCCCAGTATCATGCCTACCAATGGCTGCTGGAAGACATTGAAATTCACGACAACAAGCTTGCAGATGAGCAAATTCTTCAGCGTTTTGCCCTTGCCACATTCTACATGGCAACAAATGGTGACAGCTGGTTAAGAAATGAGAACTGGTTAAACCATTCAGTCCATGAATGCTTCTGGTATGCAAATGACTACTTTCTGGAATTTGATGGCGAGATTGATGAGTATGTGCAAGCCATTCACCCCAATCCTTGTGAGATGCCACCCACAAACAACTCAGATGTGTCAGTTCTTCCAGAAGAGACAGAAAACACGTATGTTCATCTCTGGCTTGCCAACAAGAACCTAGAAGGCACCATTCCTCCTGAGCTATTCTGGTTGACAGACCTCAGGAGCGTTTCCCTCTACAACAATGCTGGCCTTGGGGACTCCATTCCTTCATTGATTGGGCAACTATCCAACCTGGAAGCTATCAACATGGGGAGCACAGCAACCTCCGGAGTTTTGCCCAGTGAGCTCGGCCTCTTGTCAGATACAATGCACAGTATTTCCATCATCAATGCTCAATTGGAAGGAAGCCTCCCATCAGAGCTGGGTCTCTTGCACAGGATGAGTGATCTCTTCGTGGATCAAAATGGGCTCACAGGAGTTGTACCGGAAGAGTTAGGCGATGCATCTAGCTTGCAATTCATCTATTTGGCTGATAACTCATTCACAGGCACCTTTCCAGCCTTCATGGTGCATCTACCTTTGCTGCAGTTGTATCTCGATGGGAATCTATTTTCCGGAGCCATGCCAACTGACATTGGCTTGCTAAGTAAAATTGAGCTTTTTGGTGTCTATGGCAACAGATTCACTGGAACTATTCCAACTCAAGTTGCTCAAATGTCATCTGTTGGCTATCTTGACTTTGATGACTGCTACTTTACTGGGACTCTTCCATCCGAGCTTGGTCTGCTCAGCGACATGACAGGTTTCTGGGCTGCTGGCAACAGTCTAACTGGAACCATCAGCAGTGGAATTGCGCAGAACTTCAATCTTGAACATTTCACTGTAGCTGAGAACTATCTTTCCGGAACAATCCCTACTGAGTTTGGCCAGATTGCCAACTTAATGACATTGAGTTTGGAAAACAACAACTTGTCTGGATCACTGCCACGAGGGCTTAGCTCCAACATCGACTGGTTGGAAGTTTCCAACAACACTCTATTGACTGGCTCTCTCCCTGCAAGCCTTACAAGTTTAAATTGGGTATGGCTGACCGGAACTCAGATCTCTGGAGTATTGCCAGACTATGTTTGTGATATTGAAACACTGGAGTTTGACTGCAGCTCAATTCTCTGTGGGTGTAGCTGCACTTGCAGCAACAATTCCAACAGCACAGCAGCTAGCATTCTTGCCAGGAAGAATGAAACTCTCGGCTAAGCAGCTGCCATACCGGTAGTTGCTCATTAATTAAAAACTAGATCTACACTATTGTCACTGCTTGTACGGCGTACCGGTGATACTGGCACCATGGTACCGTTGTGCTCTCCGTTTTCTCTGAGAAGACCACGATCCACGTCAGCAAAAATGGATGACACTCAACTCCCGCGCTTCCCTTGCTAGAAGGTCGAGAGAAGCCGGGTCCACAAATCCTTCTCTCTCTCACAAATAATCAATATCGACCCCAAAAGTAATACAAGGACGATGCGGCCTCCTTCTGCTAAATCACTGCCGCTGAAGAAGCGCAAGAAGAAGAGAGACCCGGAGAAGCTACCTTCATCGCTTCCGATAACCCATCAGCAGAAAGAGGTTGACAAGAAAAAGAAAAAGAAGGCCCAGACAATTGCGACAGCAACAGCCAGAGATCCCTCGAATACCACGCTGTTAACTCGTCATTCCATCCACAACAACCTTGTTACAGCCATGGTCGATGATTCTTTCTGTCCTTTACCGGCAGAGCTTGCCATGACAAAAACACGATACCCAGTTGGCTGCCGCGTCCTCTTTGTGGAAAGCAGAAAGAGTCCTCTGAAAATGGCTGGCAATGACAACAAGATTCGTGGAATCCGATCAGGCACTGTAGTACAGGTGGGCTTTGATTCGACTGGAGAGTTCTGCTATCAAGTAAGAGTCACAAATCAGCAATCAAAGCAGCATTGTCAGCAAACAGAGGTTGCGCTTCTTGTGCCCAGTGGCAATGTCCTCTTCGCGCCCAGAACCCCAGTTTGGGTATCTTTGGGTCAGTCACGCAATGACAACAGCAGCAAAGGGAAAGGCCGTGTCATTGGATGCTTCCATTCAGAAGGGGAAGACGATATCCTGACGGGTATTCGCTACACGGTTCTGGTTGCCAACAAGACCGGAAGACCTACCCTACACAGCAATATCTTGCCGCGACAGCTCTTGTTTCGGGGTACTCTCGAGGGCCAAGCTTCCACAATCGGTAGTCCACAAAATCAAAATCAAGAACAACAGCAGGATCTTTGCAGTACAAAGGGCGATGTCATGCAAGCTGATCCACTCCCTCTGGCAACCCCGGTCCCTTATCGTCATGAGTCGGTCCCGTCATTGGAAAACCGTGTCCAACCCGAGCAGCACAAGAAGAAAGAATACGGGAACTACGCTGCTCTAGCCGGAGCCGGATCGAATGAGCTGCACTCATCCCCTTGTCAACCATCACCCATCAAGGAAGAGGTGCAGTCAGTAGTTCACAGTGTCCAGACCAACAGTCGAGAATATGCTCGTCAGTCACGCCAGCACACACCAGCACCAGTCGTCGCCGAAGGGACCGTAAGTGGCATGATAGTCGTGGAGAGGGAAAGGGATTGTTGTCGCCATAGTATTAGGCGACAACCTGTAATTGCCTCTCAATATCCCCTCATTGCTTCTCAGGATCCCCACATCACAGAGGAAGCTTTGGATTCCATGCCATCATGCCGCGGTCACTCAAATGTTGGGTCCTCCGTACCCATCCAAACGAGTCGACAATCTGTAACTCTGTCCACGACGCTTGGACAGCAAGCACAGTACAACATCGAGGCCCACAACGCCGTGTTGGAAGAGGACCTCGGGGAAGGGGGAGATGAAGCAAGAGAAAGCCTCGTTCTCGCGGCTGCTGCCCGGCCCTCGTCGACTACTGCCTCGAAGAAACCTCGTCAATTTGAAGCTGCTTCCAAGGGCATACCCCTCCGGCAACTGCTGCAAGCCTTCAGCTACCCCCCAAACCCTTCAAGCTCTGGGAGCAGTATCAATCCGCGAGCAAAACAGAAGAAAGGAAAGGAGGTTCACAACCATTTGCCGAATCCATTTTCTCGTATCGTTCGTGGAGATGAACATAACTTTACACGCCTGAAACTACGAGTGGAACGCGGCGAGATTGCCCAGTTGCCCAAGGACTTTTGCCTCCAGTATCATTTGTGTGGCCATTGCCACGACCACTGCAGCAATGCTATCAGTCATTGCCGTTTGTCACAGGTGGAGGCCAACCATGTGGAAAAGTCGCTCCTCCCAGCCATGAGCCCCGATGGCCCCATCAAGTCCGTGGGCAACAAAAGGTCGACTCCTCGCATTCGCCCTGTGTTGAACTGTCAAGAAAACATGTTCCTGAAACTGCGACGTTCCAAACGACATTTCTTCAAGCGAGTAGTCAAATATACCTCGGGGCTCTCCCAGAAAGGAGAGTTCCCCTTGGACTACCCCAAGGGCTTGTGCTTCCACTATCACCTCCAAGGTAACTGCCGACGTGGTATCTTCTGTAGACATCATTTTTCGCACCGAGATTTGACCCCTGAGGAGGCCCGAAACTTGGAAAAGGTGTTGCTCCCCATAACAAGTCCCAGCGGCTTGATCCTGATTGAGGAACAAACGCCAGCGGCTGCTCCTCAAATCAATGCGCTTCCGGGACGAAAGCGTCCTAGTCCTGACGAAACCATCGAACAGACAACGAAGAAGCCAAAGCGCGTCAGCTGGGCGTCCACTGATTGACGGTCGCCAAGAGCACGCCATGGTGCTTTGAAGTTCGATGGTACACCAGCGATCACAACGACTCTAAGGATACATGGTACAACGATACAATAGTGAATACAACGACTCTAAAGATACATGATACATCTTTTGGCTTTGCTTTGTGCCTGCATCCGAAATCGAGCTACCAAGCCCGAGCTTCTACTAGTAGTACCGGTATGGTGCGACCATACCGTACCGGCATGATAAACATGATACTAGTACGCTGCTTCAGACATACCCTGGTAGCTTTGAACAATGGTTAGATGCCAAACATACATTCGCGACTCTGCGAAAGTACCGCGGCCACCACTTTGAGCTTCCCACACCCAGACCTTGCAGCTGCCGGCCGGGTAGTACCGGTAAACTTATTACAGCCTTGCAAGCTTTAAAATGGATCTTTGCCAACCAACAGCTGACGAAGATCTTTGCACTGGGCCGTGATCAGCTACCCAGTACCGGACCCGTGGTGTCTATAGTAGCAGGAAGAGTGTGGATAGTTACTTCAGAGAATAGGAAGAGACGATGGGAATACGGTGCTATCTAATTCGAGCCAGCGAAGAGGAGCTACAGGAGAAGGTCCTCCACCCAAAGGCGACGAAGGACGCTGTCTTTGGGTGGCCACAATCGGACCACCTGGAACTGCTTGATTCGACAGAGGCAGCTGCAGCAGCACGGAAGCAAAATGAGGACAAGGATAGCAAACCACCTGCCAAAAAGGCCAAGACAGAAACGCAAGAAACTCAAGACGAAGCAAAGAAAACGCTTCGCGAAGCTCGTCATTTATGCTTGGACAAGTCCTGGACTGCGATTCACTGGCTGTTGACCCACCAGGACGGCACTACAAACGGTGATGCTTACTCCAAAGCAGACCCTGTGGAGCCCGTCACGGCTCTGTTGATTGACAAAAAGAAGTTCTATGAAGTCAGCTTATTCAGTACTGGAGAAAGGACCCGTTACGGAAAGATCACCGATTTGAAGCCTCGAGCTGGCGTTGCTGTCTCTGGCTCTTTCCAGTCTACTTCTCCTCCATTGGCCGCTGCCTGTGATACTCTCAAATCCAAACTTGCCAAAGGGTACAAAGCTCATCTCGTTGGGTTGGACACGGCAGTCCAAAAAAGATACGATAGATTTGGAGGAGCGCCCTCCAAGAAACCCGCAGAAGGAGAACAATCTACTTCTCTCGTCGATATTTACACTGTCAAGGACAAGGGCGTCAAAGAATGCCTCCAAGATCAGTTTGGGATGAATCAGGAAGACATGGGTCTGAATGCCAAAAACAGAGTTGAGACCTTATTTCGGTCCTTTGTCATGGACCAATTACAACCCAAGCATCCGGATGGAACCCCTTATCATCTCAGCTACCTTGTCTACGGTGGAGAGCCAACTTGCTTCTTGGCGTATGGCGAGGGACGTTGCCTCAATGCAAAACAATTAAAGCATTGGAATGAAGAAATTGTAAATGCCGTCGACAAAGGTCTGAAGAACGTCTTTGACCCCGAAAAAATGAAAAGCAGCGACGAATTCCCAGCCGAATGGAAGGCCGATGATTGGGACTACATCGAGACGCACATCTTGGCTCTCAGATACTTTTTGCAATGCGCCGTCGAAGATGAGCAAGGTGTACTGATCTACTTGGCGTAGCGAGCCTTTTTCTGTTTTCTTTCCTTTTTGTCGGCGTCCCGTCCGTCATTTTCAGTAGGCCAAATCCTCACTTCGGAGACGTCATGTGCACGGCGCTCGAGCCAAACGAGCTCTACACTTCTTCCTTTGGAAAAGGAAAAGCAACAGGCCAACGTGCTATTGACTGTCATACACTGGAATCATTGGAATACCAGAAGATGATGCAACCTTAGATCCGTCAATCGATTGCTCAAATAAATGAACAGATTCAATCAACGTGGTACCGGTACGGGTCTACACTACGGTGTGACGAATCGAACCGTCTGTAGCCTGATTTTACGAATATGTTGGCTACCGGTACCGGCACGGTACGGTAGCACTTTGAGCCATTGGAACAAACGCGTTTTCTGCCCCTCCCGTACCCTGCATTGGAACTATCGCGCAAGGCTGCTTGGCTTCCTGGGACCCATTTATTGCCGGCCTTTTACGAGTGGGAGTCTCTCCCAACGAGATCGGACGAACGACAACTGCGATGTGATTTCTCAGGGGCGAGTATCAGCGGCTGGCATGAAACCACAAAGCCTGCGACGTAGTTCCGAATCGAATCCAAGCATCAAGCTGTACCATAGGCATGCCTATTCGCTACGTTTGAACATGAAGCTACGTGAACAATTTTGTTTGTCTTCAGCTAGCATACTTGCGAGGGCCAAAGGCGCGAATAAATATATCAGCCCGGCAATATTTCACAGCGTCGTGACTGGTCCCAGAAATCAAGACAAATGGTTTCACAGCGGGAAAAGCAGGATTCTTGTGCTCCACAACTAGCAGGTGGCAACGAGGGTGTGCTCGTTGTATAGTCCCATCTTGTACAAGGTCCCATGGCACAATGTATTTTTCTTGGTTGCCTACTGGGCCCAGAGGGATCACGTTCAAGTGTCTGTAATCGCTACCAAGCCCAAGATTGAAGGCACATGGGTCACGCACATAAACAATTCCCCTCCCGTGTGTCTCGTTCGCAATTGCAAGTTGGCTCAGAAGACGCCCACGAAGTTTCCGGGGTAATGCATTCACTAGACGAATCTCAACTTCATGGATGCAATTCCACAGCTGTTCCTTGCTGTTTCCAACAACCCTCAGCAACAATTTGCTGCTCCTTCCGGCAGGTCCGAGATGAATGGAGCAGTCGTACTTTGCCTCGAGAGATCTTCGAGCAGAGTCAATGACCTCTTGAAAGAAATCAGCCCCGAACAAAAAGGCAGGAAGAAAGTGCTCGACTTCAGTCCTTGCAATTGGACGAGATGTGGTGTATGGTTCCGTTGTAGTTCGCCGTCTCTTGTCGTCGTTGCATCTGTCAGAGCGATAGTCCCTCGAGTGAGAGTCTTCCAGGTGTCGCTTCTTGAAGCCACCTCCACCATCTCCTTTGGAAAAGATGGGGCCGTTAGGGCTGATGGCACGAGCCAAGGAATCTTCCAGATCTCTGGCTTGCGATGGAGTCAACATGTCGTGGGTACGAGGACAGGATTTGCCTTTGACACAAAAACCTTCCAAATGATACCACCAACATACACTACGCGAAATATTGTCATCATGCCGACCTCTCGTCAAGTAAGGTCTCAGGATGCTTTTGGCTCGTTCCATTTGATGACGACGTCGAGAAATATTCTGAAATGGGTTAGCTTGCACGTTTGTGACTCCATCACTGGCTCGTTGTGCGCTCGTCGACGGCGGATAGCGTGCCTGATTGGTGTCGTCCTTGCTGTGACCAGGATGAGCCTGCTTTACTGGTGCCGGCTTGTTGTAGCCTTGAGCTGCTCCCGTTCTCCCCGCCACAGAATCCATCTTCTTGTTCTCCTCCATCTTTCTGGGCCGATAGCGCAGCTGGGCTGAGGGGATATTGTATCTAATCTTGGCACCAGTAGAACCACAGCCTTCTAGGATTCGGGCTGAATAGAACCGTTTGCCACTGGAATCTTCGTCACAGCTCAGCACAATCCCCTTTTGTGGATTGGATCCGCCTCCAGTCGCTCCCTCTAGCCAGACGGGGCATCGAGGAAGGTAGAATGAGTTGGTTTTCTTGAAAAAATCCTTGCTGTGCGACTTGCCGCCGTTTCCTCGTGGCAGCTTCTGCCTTGAAGCAGAAATTGCCATTTTGCGATGATGAGGATGATGAGGAAGATGTAACTAAAATTCCCGTTTCTTTAATACTTGCAAGGACAGGGGAGGAACGAGACTCCAGGGCGAGAACAGGGCAACCAGAGGGAAAAGATCCCTGCTTGGAAACATCTCGCGGGAGTGTGTAAATGTTCCATCGGCGACAACAACACCCGCGCCTCCTTTCATAGGCTGCATAATTCTACTTTCGGCACTTGCGCTCATTCTCTTTGTTATGGTATCCTTTAGCTTTGAGCACTCAAAACAGTTCTTTCCCTCAAAAAGACTCTCTCGATGATAGAATCAATCGATTGTGCTTTGGTCGCTTTGATCTTGCAGTTTGGTGTGATGATCGAGGAGGTCGTAATTTGCACGAAAACCTGGCGGAAAACAGTAAAATTATTATTATTTGGGGGCTGACGGGCGCGCAGTTGGATCACAAGACCCTAACTCTACCACACGCCGCAAGACACCTGGTACCTACTAGGTACCTGAATGCATCCGCCCTCGCTCAGAGCATCTGTTGTACTGGTGGTACCGGTACAATGTGCCGAAGCCTTTCCACTCCTTTTGTTATTGAAGCTTGGACATTGCAGCGGAAGTTTCCACTTTGAGACGAGTTGGTCTTCACAATCATCTCACTGAGTGACAACCTCTAGTAGAAGAATGGTGTGTGCTGCCAGGTGCCAACCTATATTTTGTCTTGAGGAGGAAGGCACTCGATTGCACAATTACAATATTTTCTGTGAGAATGATACTAATGCTTCCCGGATGGGGGCCATTGGCTTTGCTTCCTATGTACAACACAACAAGAAGTTTGGATTACTTGCTGGATATATCTGGTTTGCAAAATACCTTATGTTAATGTACAGCACAGTTTAGGCTAGTTTAGCAGGTGGTAACAATCTCTTCAGTCTCGTTCCTGACGACGCTTCTTTCCCTCTGGTGCTTGGGGCTCGATGTTCTGCTCGTCCTCTCTCTGCAAACACAACCGGTGGATCTGACTGGTGCCGTTCTCGTTCTTTTGAGACCGGGTAGATCATTAGAGCTGATTGTAATGGTCGTAGGGATTCCCTCCGTTCTTGTTCGCCTCAGGCTTCTTGACCGATCATTTCCCAAATGGGCTTTGGGTTGGGGCCTTGGTCGGGCGACAATGCTTCTTATCTTCCCTTCCTCACAAAACTTCCAGGTTTCCACAAAGCTAAACTGAAGTCTGTCCGCAAGGAGTGCTATCCCATTTCTCTTCGTGCACAGTGAGTTGCCATTGTCTAGCTCAAACGCTTCGAACTCTGGTTTGTACTTTCCCATTGCCGGGAAACGATCAATCCATTGCTGTTTATTCATCCTGGTTAGTGGAATGGAAAACAAAAAGTCCGGAGCGAGCATATCACTAGCTTCCTGAAAGTTCCCTTGATCCGACAGTGCATCGAAGGTAGTGGCGAGTGCTATTATATCGGTGGGCATGATTGTTGTCTTTTCCTTTTGGTTTTGCTGTATTTGTGGCTCCGTATTGTGGTTCCTTTATGGGCCTTTTGCTTCAAAGGATTGAATCATTCTTTCTTTTCGTGCGGACTGGAGAGCTGGTCGTAACCATAACAGCTTGTTGGGAAGCAATGGAGCGTTGTAATGGTGCATACAAGCTGTGGCTCCAAACCAGGAAGAAGGGATTCACGGCTTGCACTGCAGTCCACAAGACTTTTTTGAAGACTCACTTCCGGTACTCGATCTTTGTACGGCTGTGTGAAGGAAATTCTTGATTGCATGCATCCTGAATGCTGAACCATCAATGTTAAATCCTACTCGTGTAGAGCAGCATACAGAGCGTCATCGCATTCAATAAGGTTTTTATTGGGAGGAAAGATGGACTTAAAAGCTCGTCATACATCTGTTCTCCCAAGGCTTCGAAGAGCTTCCTTCTGCAACAGGAGAAAACGAAAAGCGAAGCTGAAAGCCGAAGGACGAACACAACAACAGAACGACAAAACACCAAGCGCATGATCGCCGGATTCTCATTCGAGATGCTCAGTGGTACCGGATGTCTGGGAAGCTATTTTGTTTGCTGTTCAAAGCATACTCCCTTTGGTTGTCTCCTCAATTTGTACATTCTCTCAAGCTACTGCTTTATAACAATCAGATCAGTGTGACGATTCCGAGTGAAGTCAGCGCTTTGACACGTCTCACCAGCCTCCAGGTATGTTCATCGCCACAGCCTATCTGGCTGGCGAAGATCAGATGTGGGCAAAGCGAACTAAGCTTGTCGTCACTATGGTATGGAATATCCAGATGTCCCGCCTGGCTGAATGATTCAATCTAAGGGGGAGTCTGCCGTTGCTAGGACACCTATCTCGGATACAGCAACTGGAGAGCCGCCTTACTGGTAACCTGCCAAGTAAAACTCGACTGTTGATGGCCTTGACCTTCTTGCACTTGAATGAGAAAAAGTTGGAAGGACCGTGTCTGACTTGGGGTTTCTTGGTTCACTGGCAAACTTGAAAGAACTTCATCTGTATGAGAATGAGTTCTTGGGATCTTCACTACTGGTGCCGTGGCTGGGCTCAGCTCTCCACATTGGAGGTAACTCCTAATCAATGACAGCAATTACTAAACAGCCGATGTCGCCAAGAACCTAAAAGGTGAAGTTCACGGTTGGGCCACTGCAGTCCCCTTTGAAATTGAGACGTTCTTGAGGTGGTTTTGAATGAGACTGTGAACATTCATCAATGCTACCTCTATGGACAGTTGATTCTGCATGAAGCATGGACAGGATATGGTGCTGCCAAGCATAAGAAATAAATTCAAAGGTAATGAAGAACACAATGTCATGCTCAGTTTGACCATATTGCTCTTGGGGCCTGTAGATCAGAGATGCCTCTGCAATCATCTTACCGAGCGTCATGATGCATATGGTGTGTACTGTCAGGTATCAATCTACAATTTCCTACTGCTTGGCTGCGCTTGATCGTTTTCTATCTTTTGTTCGGCGTCTTTTGACATCATCAAAGTCTTCGCCTAGCCAGTCAGATGTTGAGGTGCCCCAATGTATTCCATTCCGACTGCATGGCACATGGGCAAAATGCACCGGACAAACTCAAGACTCAAGCTTGGAAGTTCACAGGTTGCCGACTATTACGATGCATCGTCCAACTGGTAGCTAGCTAGCTAACAGTTAGTAGCCCGTACTAGCTTCCTCATGAGCTGCTAGGTAGCAGCTCTCGAGCTAGTACCCAGCTTGGACTTGGAATGGCTCTTGGGTTGCTTGGACAGAACTCACACCAAACATAGGAACCCGTGCAGTATGCTGGCTCACAAACCACAAACACACTCTCTTATCTCAGAAAGCACCTCAATTAATTGCTTGTTGCTGCTTCACAGTTCCGTGTCTCTTGACGCCCGCACCGCCCAAGCTATTTTTTACAAGGTTCGGTAGCTGTTCGGTGCTAGCCAGTCTCCCATCTGCTACTCAGTACTCTAGACTACTCAGTATTAGCAAGACTGGGCCGAAAGTTGAAACATTGTGTGAAGAGCATATAAGAGCTGTGTGAAGTGCTCCTCGTTGGCAAGCTCTATTAATTAACACAATTGTTCTTTCGTTTACTCGAAGAACCTTAGAGAAGTCCAAGGACCGAAAAGGAAGAACTCAAGAACTCCAATATTTATTAAATTTGTTTGTGATACCCTGAAAATAAGACAATTATTTCTGTTGCACTTTTAATTAAACTTGTGAGCGATTACGAACTCTCCATTGACTGATTTTGAAGATAGACTACTCGAGGAGCTAGTATGACGATACGATACTATTACAGACAAGGGATACGGTACAGATAAGGGATACGGTACGACTTGAGTTCAATCTTTCTTCACACCATACCTGTACCGTATGTACCGTACGGTTGATACGTACGAGCCGAGCATCACGAAACGCTGAAAATACAGAAAAGTTCACTCTTTCAGACCGTACCGGTAGATAGGTACGGTTGGCACAATCACAGTGCAGAAGATTCTTCTGATTATGGTGATATTTTGGTTCGAGCCTTGAACTCAAGTGGTTTCCAGACTTTAGTGCAAGCCCTGATCCTACTACACCATTTTGCTGGTTCCAGTTTATCAGTTTCCGTCCCGGGCGTGTCACCGGAGCAGCTCTGTCCACTACCGGTACCAGGTACCGGTACTTCATCACAGCTTTCATCACTCACTTTTTGAATGATCTGCAGTAAACATCTAAACATCTTAATATCTTATAGAAAAGGTCTACACCATCCAAATCTGATTTTCACCAGTTTCTGAGGATTGTAAGGACAATTCTCTTCAAGTGAAGTGCAATCGTGATAGTAAGGCTTTAAAAACTCACAGGAAATGAGAAAATAAATCGTATGAAAATGAGAAAGTGAGATCTTTTCTCTTTCGGCAACCCACTTTTTGATTTAGTTTTGAGCTGCTTTTTGCAGCTGTATCGGTACGGTGTTTGGTTCGGTTCTACTCTTCGCGTTGTGGCTTTGTGGCTTGTGGCTCCATGCACTTACTTTGTCCCTACTACTAGATCCCAGCAATCCACCCCTCTCACTACGACTTGACTCCCATCTTTAGACTAGACTGCGTTCCTCTTTGGAGAAACGCCCTGGACATGTCGGACAGTATGAAGGAAGGAAGTGTGGCGGATACGTTGTCTACCTCGAAGGATGACAATGGCCAGACGAATCAAGACCCCGGCAGTTGCAATGTCAAGAATGGTGGCATTGTGATGGATAGCTCCTCCAAGTCTGAGCCTAGCCGGGAGCCTCCGGTTGGACTGGTCACTACTAACGCTGCTGCCACCAGAGATACCGGTATCACACCAAAGCTCGACGCGGCAACTATATGCATACTGGTACCCGCAGCGAGAAGCTCTTACGCAGAGGCAAGGAAGGCTCGTAAAGAAGCAGAGTCCTTGGGCAACGCTAGGGTAGCCAGTAGGCATTCCTTCACAGCGATCACGCTCAGCCACATTCATAGAACAAACCAAAAAGTCAGGCGGGAGGCAAGACGAAGGGCCACCACTGTTGAGTTAGTGACGACCACAGCAGCGGCCGCAACAACCATATCCTTTGACGCCACCGCCGACTGTGCTGCTACTGCTAGTAGTACAGGCAACCAGGAAGATGACGACACTCCACAAGAGTCCGATGTCTACGTTCCAGAGACGGTTGCTCCTCCCATGCTATTGGAAGCTAGAATAGTGGAGGAACCTACGCTGGTTCACGCCGAGCCAATGCCTGGAGCTTCCCACTTTCAAGACGAAGAATCGGGACAAAGTGAAGATGGAAGGCCCAAGTTGGACGAATCCAACCGCTCTGAGAGCAACACTAGTATCACCGTCAGCCGCAAATGGGTATGTGTCATGTACGGTGCAGCAGCCATTATTGTTGGCTTCCTGATTCTGACTGGGTTACTTGGCAGCGTGCTTATCACAGCCACAAACTCCTCCGAGTCCACAGAAGAGGAAGGAGAGAACGGTGGCATCAAGCAAACTGCTTCGTCCGAGTCTCCTTCACCCGTGTCCAGTCCACCTCCGACACCCCGTGCCATGCTTGACGCTGACTTTCTACCCGAGTTTTCCATTGCTGCCATTCTCGAGAATGAGACGTCTCCTCAAGCAAAAGCCCTCTCCTGGGTTCAAGAGCATCGGGATTTTGAGTCCATGTCAGAGGCACGAAAGCGACAGCTAATGGCGCTGGCGACACTGTTCTATGCCACGGGAGGAAACAGCTCTTGGCAACCAACGCCCCGTATCAACTGGCTCGATGACAGTCTGCACGAATGTGACTGGCAAGGAGACAGGGAATTCAAGCCCAACTGCACTGACGAAGGAGTCTACCAAGCCATCAACTTGGACAGCGACCGCCTTGTTGGGACGATCCCACCAGAGATATCCTTTTTGACTGGCCTAAAGTGTCTATCGCTGAGAGAGAATCAAATCTCTGGCACACTGACAACACTCTTTGGAAGGCTCACCGGGTTGACAGAGGTATGGTTGCATCAATGTAGCTTGTTTTCAAAGGCGCACTCCCTTTTGGCTGTCTCCTCACTTTGTGCATTCTCTCAAGTTACTGCTTCAAAACAATCAGATCAGCGGAACGATTCCAAGTGAAATCGGTGCTTTGACACACCTCACCAACCTCCTGGTATGTTCGTCGCCACAACCTATCTGTCCGGCGGAAGAGCAGATGCTGGCAAAAAACTAACTATGCTTGTTGCATTGTGGTATGGACTATCCAGATGTCTCGCCTGGATCTCCGAGGCAGTCTGCCATCGGAGCTAAGCCACCTATCTGGACTAGAACAACTGGAGTTTTGGGAGAATAGCCTTACCGGGACCATCCCGAGTGAAATTGGACTGTTGACGGCCTTGACCTTCTTGCACTTGAATGAGAACAAGTTGGACGGAAGGCTGTCTGACTTGGAGTTTCTTGCTTCACTGACAAACTTGAAAGAACTGCATCTGTATGAAAATCATTTCTCCGGATCTATACCGGTTTCGTGGGCGCAGCTCTCCACGTTGGAGCAACTTCAAATCTACGACAATTTGGTAAACGGGAGCGTTCCAGAAGAGCTTTGCATTGCATTGACTTCCCTGACCAGCTTTCGATATGATTGCGACCTGCTTACTTGCAGCTGTCCTCAATGCTCCGATAAGGATGAATCCTGTAAATGAGTTGTTGCCAGTACGACATGTACGATACGGACTAACCATCCAGCCATCCAGTACAAAATGTTTCATGTTTATTGCGCATGATGATTCGATTCCAGTCATCATTCCATCGGTCTCTATCTGCTATAAATGGATGCCAGTATGATCCGTCCTCGTCTAACCAGGACAGCATCATTAACAAGTACCGGTACGTTCTGTTCTCCATTGAAGCCATGCAATTCTACAGTACTACTGTACCTCGTACCCGAACTAGAGAACTGGTCACAGTTACAGCAACAAAACTGCTACTAACTCTTAACTATTAAAGACTTGTTGAACTCCAGTATGCTTGTTGCTCATCTGTACCTACTGTCCGGCTGCTCTACCATAGATTACAGCAGTGTTGCCTCTTTTGCTTCTGCATTATTGTTGGCTCACTCATCCAGGAACCCATCATAAAGCTCCGACGCTGACTCAAAGTATTGAGAACGGTTTGCAGAAAAGGTTTCCTTTGGAATGGGGGTCACATTGGATTCCTCGCACGCCACTTTGTATTCATTGTACTCTTGGGTCAATTTGGGGGCCACCGTCAAGAGATGCTTTTTCGAATTGACCCCGTAGGTGGAACGACCCGTGGTCTCGTGACGGCGCAGACGACGACAAGTGCTGGGTTCGGCAGCGATAGTCAATTGATGATCTCGATCTAATCGTTCAAAGAACTCCCGATGGACGCGGAGAGACGCTGTTTGTGGAGTCTCGCAGAGCGACTGGACAAGAGTCCTCTTTTTGTCGTCCACGGGGTCGTCATCTCGAAATGCAAATGTATCCTTTTCGACTTTATTTTCCAGACTCAAACAGCTCCCCGTGCTGACTCTTCTGGCCAGTGTCACAGTGTCGATTGTTGTGCTTGTGTGATTGTCATCTTCCTCTTCCGGCTCATTCTTCGTGCTTCCTCGATTATTCAACGGCTGAAAATCCTGTGGTTGTGACAGCATGCCCACACAATACGATTCGTCATCGTCGGAATCATTCAGCGAATTCAACTCACTGCACTTCTTCTGTCTCTTCTTGTTGCGAGACCTGATTCCGTAGGACTTTTGATGTCTCTTTTTGCTGTCAAAAGGATCCTTGGGTTTGGTCGGTGCTTCTTCATTGGACTCGTTAGGACTGGTAGAAGTAGTAGTCTTCTCCATACCATCGGAAAAATCCAAGCGAATGTTGATCCCATCGTGCTTTCTCACTGCTGTATTATTCCTGGCAGCATCTTCTGCTTCATTCGATGGCTCTTTGGAAGGTGGCACGGCTTGTTTGAAAATAGGACGGCACTTGTCATGGTCCCATTCAATGGTCGCATTGGGTTGCGAAGAGAGCTCGCCATTCGTTTTCTTCAAGGTCGAGGTATCATTGCGCGGTTTCCTCCTGGTGAACCACGTCCCTGCTTTGCCACCAAAGGACCGTCGGCATGGAGGCGCTGCTCCCAGAGAGGTCGTCGCCATGGTGCTTTTTGACTTCAAAATGAAAATGAGTTTGTGAGGCGTTTGAAATTCAAGTTCAAAAAAGAAGCCGTTATGTACTCACTAAAACGGCGGAGCTGTAAACGAAAAAGTCGAGACGACGCCAGAAGATCGGGCCTTTGAAAAGACGGTGGTACTACTAAAGATCAGAGATCTTGTTATTTATTATGCCTAACCTTGTTAAGGACACACTACCGTGTGAATGTTAGAAAGGTATTTTCGTATGACAGACAGACGACTCGGGATCCACAATCACGGTTCGTGATTGGGGATGTGTGACTCAAATCAGATGGTTATCCGATCATCATCAGATGGCCAGGTGTATTACAAGGAACGAGGACAATGGTCGTCTAGTGATGCAACTACAAAGGTTAGGAAGTTAGGTCGAAGAGATGAATGCAAGGAGCGACGGGATGGAACAAATGAATGGAGGATGAAGGTCAATAGGTTTAAGTAAAGTGGGAAAGCCCTCCAGGGCCAACCATTGCACTTCAGGAAGATAGATCGACGAGATCTATCTGCAGATGAAACTGCGAAAAACAGAGGATCGAAAGATCCTGGTATATGTATGCATATCGAGCTCAGTTGTAGAGCTCAAAATCTGAACGAGAGAGAAAGAGAAAACGAAAACAATAGCCAGTCTCCTAGACAGTAGAGCTGGAGGGATATTGATTAAATTAGAGATAATTGTGCGTTCAAGTTCAAACTTTTCAACACGTTTTAAAACAAAGCTATCAGGAAAGAGTGAGCTTGATCCAGGTTGTCAAACAGAAAAGAGAGAAATTGAGAATATAAGTAAAGATGTCTACGGAGGTGAGATATCATCGTCGAGCAATATCCCATCTTCGATGGGAAAGATGAGATGTTCAGGTTCTACAAGGTACAGATGATGGCCCATTATCAAAAGTTATGGGTCGCCAGAACTAATGAAGGACTCTCGAGAAATCAAACGGACAAGCTGGGAAAACCCTACAGGTACTGGGCAAGTTGTCGGACGACGAAGTAGAAAGGTCGAAAGCTGCAGAAGAAGAACAGCAAGGCTGCTGGAATAATGCTGACTCGATCAATGTTGAGACCAATCGAAGGGCAAGTCGC